GTATATATTCTTTAAAAGCTTATGTAAAATGCATAACAGTAAAGAATAAATACTGTTTTTCAAAAATTTAAACAAAAATAGTTTTCTCCGAAATCCTCAAAATTCAATTCGCAGGTACCGCTTATATGTGAGAGGAATCGGCCTAATTTCTTTATTATTTTATTTCCTTCTTTATTGTCAATAAGTCACTTGGAGATTTTCTTAAAATTTTTAAATTTGCTTAACAAAATTGCAAAAAGTTTGAAACTGGATTTTTGAAAATGCCGTGTGAAGGATTTATGACTATAACCCAAATACGGTTTACTCTATCTAATAAGGATAAAACTCACATTTGAGTTAATATGAATATATTTAAAGTAATGACATGATCTTATTAGAAAATTTCCCGAAATTAGTTTTTTTAAATATTTCTCATTTAAGTGTTTTGTGACACTAAATGATCGTAGGAATTTGTAATAACCTTTTACATTTTTGACCGATTATTGTGTTTTATATCTTATTGGAACGATAACTGAATGTATATTCCAATTATTTTCTGTTAAAAACCCAAAAAATACATTTAGTGCCAAAATCGTTGTAAAAATCGCTTTCCTCATCAGAGCCGTGGCGTCACCAGTTAATGTGGTCTATCGCGATAAATTTTTCAGGAATGCACTTCTATAACTCTAAGTATAAGTCTAAAGGCACAGAGGCCGTTATTCGCAATTTCTGTAAAAGTACAGAATTTCATATTTGGGACTCAAGTATATAGTCAAAAGGAATAAAGGATGATAATGTGGAAGATTGGTTGGAAAATTTACTTTTTTATTTCCATATTCGGAATCAGCACACTAAATAACACTGGGATTAGTGAAATCATTTAAAAAGTTTTTTCATCGATGGCATGTGTTATGTTTGTATAAAAAAAATGTCAAATTATTTACCGGATTTTACCCTTTTCAAAAGATTTACAGCACCGGTTCCCGTTATCCGATTGGACTAAAATTTAACACCAGTTAGTTTTATTAATAAAATAAGAGCCATCCAAGTAAATCGATATTTTTTGGGCCCTTCTAGAGTACGCTTTTACCTTGTTAACCGAATCCAAATATTAGGTCGGACGATATTTATTGAAAAAGTAACTGATATTCGGTCGTTGAAATTATTTGCAAACCTCACAACCATGGCACACTTAACAAGGTTCCAGCACTTGAGAAGAAACGCACGATTGTCAATTTTTTATATGGAGTTTGACAAACACGCGGTTTATGCCTGTATACTAGTCTATGTATAAAAAATTGTAAACAATGATCAGCTGGGCTAATAATGTCACCTTGTATTCAGTACACCCTGCTCACAACAATAGAATTGATAAGAAAAACAAATTGATAAAATGCACAAACACTTAAATTCTGAATTGTTGTGAGGGGTATTAAATGGTAAACAATTTGCACTATATTAGTTGATGATTATAGAATGCCATCTATAAAATCCAAGGTGCTTTAAAAACGTTCGGTTAATTCACTTAGAGCAGTATTGTTGAGAAAAGAAAAATGGATTTTATTCCAACGGGTAAGTTTTGACGAGTAATGCATACATGTAACATCTAACTAAATTTAAATATTTTAGAACATCAGCATAGACGTTTAAACCCTTTGACAGGACAGTGGGTACTTGTGTGTCCCCACCGAATGTTAAGGCCCTGGTCGGGACAACAAGAGTCGCCCCAAAAAAATGATTTGTTGGAATTTGACCCAACCAATCCGCTCTGTCCTGGTGTTACAAGACCTAACGGTGTCGTAAGGAATATTAATATACATACATATATCAGATTACTTGATATTTCACAAAGTATGATTAAACTTTCTGTTCTTTTAGGTAAATCCTGTTTATGAAGGAACTTTTGTGTTCACTAATGATTTTCCGGCTTTACTGGAAGATATACCGTCACCACCAGAGAGCGACGATCCTCTTTTTCAGTCAGCTGCTGCTAGAGGTACTTGCAGGGTAATGTGTTTTCATCCTAAATCTAATTTAACTCTTCCTCTAATGACGCTTCTCTCAATTGAGAATGTCATTCATGAGTGGATTAATCAGTACAATGAGTTGAGTCAGAAATATACTTGGGTGCAGATATTTGAAAACAAAGGTTCTGCAATGGGTTGTTCAAATCCACATCCACACTGTCAAATTTGGGCTTGCTCATTTTTGCCTTCCGATCCAGCTCTTAAAAATGAAAATTTGCAGAAGTACTATAGACAGCATAAAAGACCATTGCTGGATGATTATGTTGTTAGAGAAATAGATCGAAAAGAAAGAATTGTAATTCTAAATCCAGATTGGATCGTTGTTGTTCCATATTGGGCTGCATGGCCTTTTGAAACAATGATTATATCCCGTAATAAGAACAAACGCATCAATGATCTTACTGAAAAGCAACAAAAAAATTTGGCCAAAGTTATGAAACAGTTAACAACCAAATACGATAACTTATTTAAGTGTTCATTTCCTTATTCAATGGGTTTTCATGGTGCACCCTCTGGTGATATGTCTACAGACGATGACAGCCATTGGACTTTGCATGCCATTTATTACCCACCTCTGCTACGATCTGCAACTGTAAGAAAATTTATGGTGGGTTTTGAATTACTGTGCCAATCTCAAAGAGATTTAACAGCAGAACAAGCGGCACACCGTTTAAGAGAACTAGATGGCGATAATCACTATTTAAACAACTAAATATATTCCACAAGTTCTTGTTTTTTAATAAAAAATTCCATTAAACATAATAATAAAAACCTCTAACGAGTAAAAATCATTGCAAATCAAACCGATAAAACTGTATGCCTTTAAACAAGAGCTTTAAAACTATTTTTCATATAACATTCAAATAAGGCCTAAAAATTAAATTAAATAAATTTTTGTAAAGTGTAAGTATAATTACACTTTAATTTTTGCCATTAATTTTCACAATTGTCCATACATTAATGTTCCATTTAAGGTTACAAACATAACTACATACAAATATTTATTTTTAAACTTTAACCCATTTACAGCCAATCAAAAAGTACAAGTTAAATTTTTGAATCTTCAAGGTATATTTATTTTCAACAATGCAAAAAAGCAGAAACGAAAAAAAAAATATTAAAAAATATGAATAATTAGGACATTAGAGGGGATTTCCGTTTTTATGTAGCTCGCGTTTTTTAACGGTTTAGAACCGTCACAGAAACTAGAAACGGAGTGAAATGGCAGACACGGGCATTACTATGTTATCAGATTATTTTAGACCGTTTGTTTTAAATTAATAACTGTCATACTTTGTTTAAAAAATTATAACAAATTTATTTTATGACATGTTTTTAGTATATTTTTGGCCACTGAAGTTTAATAGATTATTATAACAATAACATTGAATTTAGTTAAATTGTTTGATTTAATATTTATTCTGAGCACTTTCCTCTACTCAATAATGCAAAAATAAATAAACCAGAGTTAACCGTTAATATTTATTAATTAATATTAATATTTGAATAATATTATTTCAGTACATATTTCGCTTCTTTAGATCGGATTCGAAAATACTTGATACAAATTTATTTTAGTGCTAAATATGAAATGCGATTTCAATAATTCGACTCAAACTATTTGATGTTCACAATATAAAAAATTTCATAAAAAAAGTTTCTTTAAATTTAAAGTAATAACAGAAAAATTCAAAATATAAAAAGTTTTATATAAAATCGAATCGAGTTAACAAACATAAGATAATCATAAATAAAAACATAAGTACAAATAAATATATAGAAACATTTTTAAAGGAAAACAAGTATGAAATTATAGTCGCGCGAGGCCGACCATATAATACCCTACACCTGTTACAAAATTAAAATGTGATTTAGTTTTCATAATAAAGCATTTAAGTTGAATTGTACCTTGTCTCAGATGTACTTAAGCCATTTATTGTTGAATAAAATTGTGGATATTTAAGTCAAATTTTGAAGGGGGCTTTGTATAGGGGCTATGGTCAAATGAGACCTTATAATAATAAAATTCATGAGTTTTGCAGCATAGAAGATCATGGGCCAAATTTCATTGAATTATCTTCAAAATTGCGACCTGTAGTTTGATTACAAGGTTTACAAGCCCTATTCGGGGGTTCAGTTGTATGGGGGCTAGGTGAAATAATGGACCGATGTAAACCATTTTCAATGGGCTTCGTCTCCGATACTATAGAAGATCGTGTGCCAAATTTCATTGAATTATCTTCAAAATTGCGACCTGTAGTTTGATTATAAGGTTTACAAGCCCTATTCAATGTTTCAAAAAAAAAAATAATAATTTTTTAAATTTGTTAATAAAAAATCAATTTTTAAAAACAGGCTTTGTGGTCACTTAGTGGGATGCAAGGGGCATATGTAAAAAACAAAAACTTTGCTTTTTGATATAAAATATTTTTTTGATAGATACCCCAATCGCATCCCACTAAGCGACTATAAAGCCCTTAAAGAAAATTATATAAGCTTTCTTTTGAGCAAAAAATAAAATTTTTTTAAACAAATTTAAAAACTAAATTTAATTCTTTTTGGAAACGGTGAAGAAATGGATATCTAAACTCCTTTGGACAACTTTTGCTAGGACCAATAGGTGAAAAGTTACACTAATTTGAATAAAACCTTGTAAGTTCGGCTGTTCTTGACCGTTAGAGCTGAAAACTTGCATCTGGCCTATTATCCAATAGTACTAATCCTGGAGCAAAAAACGAAACACAGCGATTTTAAAAGTTGGGTCACTTGATACGAAATTGCCCATATGATTAATTTATTTTTAGAGATAAGGTGAAATCTCTTATTAAGCATACAGACATTTACATCCATGCATATGTCATCGACACATTTATGCATTGGTGGTTGTAAGTAAAAAGTTCAAGAATAGTTTGTTCACTTTTTGTATTTAAAAAACCACATTATTTTTAAGTTTAATTAAAGTAATTTTCTTTATTTTTTGATTAATAAAAATCATTATGCTTCTTATGTAGTATGTATAACAAATTTATTTAAAAGCATTTATATTTTTTTTTGTTTTGGCTATAAGTATTGCAAAGAGTAATTTTTAAAACCTAAATAAAAAATCCACTCTGTAGCATGTATAATATTAGTAGCTTTTATAATAGGCATTGTACATCTTTAATACCTTGATACTTATAGGAATACGTGTAATACCTATATCGTTGTAATTATGCAAATCACTAATTAACATTCAAGAATTCCGCATTAGAAGCCGAAAATTATTAAAGCAAAAATATAAATACATAATTCCTATAAAGTTATTAGTCTTAATTAGAGCTATTTATATTTTTGGTAACGATATGATACTATAATGACAGCATTATTATTACACACCTATATGTACTTATGTGTAAGTATTTCTGTGTAAGACACTTATAATAATGTAATCAAAAGCTGTCCATGAAACGGTCTTAGAATTTCTTCATTACTGCACGCTGCTCTAGAGCTTGGATTTCACTAAGTAAAAGGGCCACATTGTAACGTAATCGATGAAACATTGACAACGGTAGTTCAAGAGTGCGATAGCGCCCATCTGATAACTGAAAGTGCAAAATTATTGTTGGCGTGACAGCAGATGGGCCACGCGACAGTCTTTACAGGATGGGATATTGTAAGAAGACAATAATAGAGAAGTAGGTATGAATATTTATATCAATGCTACATAATATATGTTTATTATACCTCTGATGTAATGATATATTGATACGCCATTGCAAGTTTTTGGCACAGGAACGTAACATCTTTGCTTCAACAAAATTTTTTGTAAGTGAAAAACGGTGATTGTGTAAAACTTTTGTTAGATCCTCTATGCACTCGTCGCTAAATCTATAGAAATATCGGCAATTAAATCATTTTATATCAACTAATAATTAGAGAAAATAAATTCACCTAAGATCCTCCTTTAAACAATCTCTTAATTCATCCGGCTTGACAGTGCCCTTGGGAGTACGTAAAAATATTTGCATTATTTGTAAAACTGCAGCGAAAAGTTCGCAGAAGTTGTCGGGAATGTTATGTCCAGCATGAGTAAGTTTATTTAACGCTAAATCCAGAACTTCGGGGGAACATTTGCTGCTTTCAATATAATGGACCGACACCTGAATGAGGACCCTCATTACGGGTTTTGTTAGTTGAGGAAAATATTTCACGTATGGTCTTATAGTTTTGACAACAGTGTAACGAAAATTACTTGACATTTTGAAGATGTTTTCTACAATAAAAGTATCGTTTTGTCCGATTCCCAACCAGACGATGTATTCTTAAATTTGTTTGTTTTTGTTTACAATTTCTTCAATAAAAGTACAACTTTATCGCCACTAATAAAAGTAACGAGTAAATAACCATTTGCACATACATATGTTAAGTACTCATGAAACAGGGTGTTTCATATTTATGGATAAAAAATATTTAGATTTTCGAACAATTGAACCTATACATGTACCTGCTGTCGATAAAAGTCGAAACAATTATTATTTTTTGCACATTGGGGTCTCCTTTAAGTAAACATGACATATATTATTTAGAATTGATTTTTTGATAAAAATTTAATATGCTTTATTGGACTTACATTCTTGTAAATAAGTTTTGCAAAAATATTAGACGGAATCTGTTTGTACCGAAAAAATCCTAAGAGAAACTATCATGAGAGTTTGGTATCACTTGAAATGTTTTTAAGGCCTAGTACACCAGTATATAAACCACTTATTATTATGTTAGCGATTTTTAGTAATAAAATATAGGAAATAAAACTGCTCTTCATATAATTCCCTATTTAATTGTAAAAAGAACTTTCCCTAAAAAACCAAAAATCTTCCAGATGCATTAAATTTAGTCTTTCGCGAAAGTAATTGGGATATGTATAAATGTAATAAAATTATTCCGTTAATAAAATTTTGAAAAATTTTGTTTTGAAAATTTTGCAAATTGCATTAAGTTCAACTTTTTCTTTTTTTACTTCGTATCTAGAGGACTTCCTCTATTAATCGATACTGATAATTTATACCAAAACATTGTAACATTGTATAATTTGCAAAAAATAAAGTAATATTTAAAAAAATATTTTCGAAAATGTTACAAGATATGTTTTAAAATTCATACTTTACGGGCAATTGTTTAAGTCAGTGTTGATCAATCCAGTCGCATTTACACCACCTAATTAGGAAATCTCAAATCGTTATAAACGATTTGTGTAATTATTTTCATTATACAAAGTCTAAAACTAGGCATTTATACAAGTATATAAAAATCACATCTTAAAAACTAGTGTTTATAAACCGGTTAACCGAAAAACCAGTTTTTATTGCATATTTCGGTTTTTCGCAAACTGGTTTTTTTAAAACATTGGTTTTCGGTTAACCGGGTTATCCGGTTTTTAAGTCTCGGTTAACCGGTTTCAAAAAATTTAATTTTTAGTTAAAATTGTATGTTTTCTTTGATTTTTTATTGTGATTTTTAAAAATTTTGGATAGATAAATCTAAACATTATTTTCCGTTTGTGCATAGAAAACAGACCTAACCCAATAAACATCGATTCAAACCTGTGAATATTTTTGAAATTTTTCTTAACTAAATAATGTATTTTCCAAATTGTTTTCAAATTTTAAAGTTTAACCTTTGAAATAAACATGATAATTTCAAAAAACGTTTAAAAAAATATAATGTGTGATATTTATAAAATTTTCAAAGTTTTGTTTTAATTGAACTTAGAAAAGTTTCTTTCAAAAAATAAATTATTTTAGAAAAATAAAAACAGAACATTTTTTCTACAGCAAAGGAGCGAAAAAACGTTAAATATAGGAGAAATAATCGGAGATATAAAAGAAAAATATGCTAAAATAAATGTATGAATGTTTTATTTTCAGGTGATGTAAAAAAATATATGAACTTTGCAATAGTTAGCATTATAATTAGGGTTTGAAATATGTATGAAAATAATAATAAGAATACTTGAAATACGTTTGAAATTTTTTTTAGTTTCAAGCTTACCTCTAGCCTTTTTTTAAATTTGAAATACATTTGAAAAATACGTTTGATTTCTAACTGCCTTTTTGTTTGAGAAGGCCATAATTTTCCATTTGAAAACAAAAATTTTCAAATTTGTTCTCAAAGGCTATGTATGAAATTTGAATAGGTTTTCAAATATATATTTACATCATTTCAAAGGTTTTTGCTTATTGGGAAGATTGTTAAACAAATGTTAGGAAATGTTAAACATAGGAGGATGCACTTACTTGTGTACTGCGTGAGTATAATAAAAATCGAGAAGTTTCTCAAACGTTCTCAAAACGGACTTTATTTATCGAAACATAAGGATTATTGTTGCTGTCCGAGAATTTATGCTGCTGTGGTTTTTCACAAGCTGTAATGGCACTTAGGTTGATTGACAGGAAGTCAGAATGACACCTGTCAATATCCCTAAGCGTCATTCACAGTAATTTGAACAACCACAGGCGTAGCGAGGGAGGGAGGCACAATTAAAGCAGGGGCTCAATGTCTATGTCAGTCGTCGTCTACTTCCGTTCCCGATGAATCGTCGCGAGCCGGAACACTATTTATACTTGATAGTCCTGGACATAAATTTTTTTGTTAATATAGATGCATTATATATTTAAAGATCAATTTATTCCTCCTATGGCAACTTCCGTTTTATGATATATTAATGTACATATCTATACTAAAAAGTGCAAATATCTTATTAAGTAATTCATAATATTTCGCAAAATGACATTTCCAAACATTTCGGTTAACCGGTTTAACCGGTTTTTTATACTCGGTTAACCGACAAACCGGTTTTCTATAAATGGTAAATTTTCGGTTAACCGAAAAACCGGTTTTATATAAACACTATTAAAAACCAACCTTTATAGTTTTTTCAAGCACTTATTTTAATTCAATATAAATTATAATTTGAGATAACATATTAACAAAATTTGTTGTTAAAAGCACAAGAATTTTTTGAATCTCGATATGTTTTTCGAAAGCTGTATACAATTTAAGAGTTTGCAGAATTTCATTTCAGCACATAAAATTTAAGTAGGAATCCAATAAGCAAAAACCTTTGAAATGATGTAAATGTGTATTTGAAAACCTATTCAAATTTCATACATAGCCTTTGAGAACAAATTTGAAAATTTTTGTTTTCAAATGGAAAATTATGGCCTTCTCAAACAAAAAGGCAGTTAGAAATCAAACGTATTTTTCAAATGTATTTCAAATTTAAAAAAAGGCTAGAGGTAAGCTTGAAACTAAAAAAATTTTCAAACGTATTTCAAGTATTCTTTATTATTATTTTCATACATATTTCAAACCCTAATTATAATGCTAACTATTGCAAAATTCATATATTTTTTTTACATCACCTGAAAATAAAACATTCATACATTTATTTTAGCATATTTTTCTTTTATATCTCCGATTATTTCTCCTATATTTAACGTTTTTTCGCTCCCTTGCTGTAGAAAAAATGTTCTGTTTTTATTTTTCTAAAATAATTTATTTTTTGAAAGAAACTTTTCTAAGTTCAATTAAAACAAAACTTTGAAAATTTTATAAATATCACACATTATATTTTTTTAAGCGTTTTTTGAAATTATCATGTTTATTTCAAAGGCTAAACTTTAAAATTTGAAAACAATTTGGAAAATACATTATTTAGTTAAGAAAATTTTCAAAAATATTCACAGGTTTGAATCGATGTTTATTGGGAATGAATTTTATTCAACCTAGAAAAAAAAAAAAAAACAATAAACATCTGGTATAGTGATATTACCTTATAAATACGTCATGATTATGTCATTTTTATGTCAAGAATGAGAGTAAATCTTAGTTTTACATGGAAATGTCAAGAGAAAAATATTGTATGAGTGCATTAGGAAAATTGAAATATGTATAACTGCATTAGGGCAATTCACACCTACTATACTATAGTTTAGCAACTATAGTACAAATAATTATGTTTATTTGTTCAATTAACATCACTGTAATTTGATTTTATTTACGTTTTATTTTGTAAAACGAAATACATACATATATTTAAGCTACGTTCACAATGACTGGAGTGAACTAAAATATTGTTTATAAAATAAATACAATTCGCAAGAGAGCTTTATCATTGTGAACGTACATAGCTTTAAACGTTAGGAATTTTTTCCATAATTTTTACCCCTTCATCTTCTTTAGATTGGGTATATACATAAGTTTGTCATTCCGTTTATAATTTCCACAATAATTTTCCCATAATGTAATGTATATGACATTACATACATCCGAGTCGAGTTGGGGTCCAAATCTTAAATAACTCTATAACATATGGTTACGAGGAGATTACTATTTAAAATCGGCAAAATTCCGAAACAAACAAATTTATAATACATTTCGGATACAATGCTCGATTCACTCTAGACCATTCATTTTATAATGTCTAGGGAAATAATTAAACATATGTTCTATATCTGGATATAGTAAAAAGATATGGGTTTTTGGGGATTGTAATAATTTTTTTACCTTTCATGCACAGAATATGAATTTTTTATTATAATAAAATTGAAAATTGAAGAAAAATTTAGAAAATGTTCTTAAAAAGTTTTGAAAATATTTTTTAAATTGAAAAAATATATCGAGGGACTATAATTAATAGTCGCTATCTGTAATTTGCATGAAAATGAGATTTTGAAGGCAAAATATCCAGCAAACAATCCCGCATCAGTGATATAAATTTCAAAGACAAAAACATATTTTTGGTTATTTTATAACATTTTGAAATTTTTTCTATTTAAAAAAAGAAAAAAATTTAAATGCAAAACTCTCTATCTATTCCAAAAATTGCTTTAAACTCTATCCATTTTGCATAATTTTTTAATTTTATAATCTGGTGCTTTTTTAACAATTCGGTTTCTTTAACTTCACATAATATAATATTGGTTGATATTAAATCAAATAAAAATTTTCTATTTCTATGAAAAACTCTCTATCTGTTGGTTGTATGAACGTTTTCGTAGAAAAAAACTCTATCTGATATCAATTTCTGAATAATATATTATAAAATAAAAATGTTAAAAATCTTCACGAACTAGCAAAATAAACTGTTTTTTAGCTCTCCTGAAAACTTCTTATATTAAACAAGTAAGAGTGTTATATTCGGCCATGCCGAATCTTATATACCCACCATCAAACCTCGTTTGACTCGAATGAAACTTACATATGTCGAATTTCATCTGTATACTCGTATTTTTTAGGCCAGTTATAAGCGTTAAAGTAATTTTCTGAAGGGGACCTTATATAGGGGGGTAGGGTCAATTATGGGTCGATCCTCAGAATTTGGTTCGTATTAAATTTATTTGAGTCGAATTTCATCGCTACACTCGCATTTTTAAACCATTAATGAGCGTTGCAGTCATTTTCTGAAGGGGACCTTATATGGGGGGTAGGGTCAATCATGGACCGATCCTCATAAAATTTTTTAGATAGATTTTGACTTGTATGAAACTTACTTATGTCGAATTTCATCGCTATATTCGTATTTTTAAACAAGTTATGGCTGTTAAAGCTGCTTTTCGAGGGGCCACTTGTATGGGGGCTATCCGAAAACATGGACCGATATTGCCCATTTTCAATACCAAACAAACCTTACCTATAAGAAATATTTATGTGAAATTTCAACCCTCTAGCTCTTTCCATTGGGACTCTATCGTGCTTTCAACAGACAGACAGACGGACAGACATGGCTAGATCGTCTTAGAATTTAATGAGGACCCAGAATATATAATGAGGACCCCCCATCTTTTTTGATGGTGGGTATAAAAATATTTAAATATACTATGGTGAATGGTATAAAATAATCTAATGATTAGTTGCACTGCTACTTGTTTTGATCTAGTTTAAAATTTTAAATAAAATTAAAAAAATATCAGATTATGTTCCTTATCATTATACGTATGTACATAAAAAAAAACTTAAATTGTACTTTTTGGAAAAAATTTCAGTTTTCACAATATGAGTATGATACATACGCAAAATTGTGAATGGGATAAATGAAATAATAAAATTTAAATGTATGGTAGTCACTCTCAGAGTACATAGTCTGCAAGTAAGCTGAGAACACAAAGAAACCGTGTTTGTGGTGGTAGTTTAGTATCTGTGCGATGGTACAGAGTTTTAGCTTGGTTTTAGCCAAATTGCTGTTCGATTGCTCAACTTTTACTTCAGTTGTTTGTGAAACGTCGGTTGTGTCGGTATTGTTTTATCATTTGCTTGAAGTGACTCTATAAGGAAAAATACACAAGGAATTCATTGGAATTTTTGTGTTGAAGCTAAACAAGCGCTGAGGGTGTATGTGCCATTGTGTGTAATACTAAGAAATATACTAAGTAGTTTGATTTACAAAAAATATAGATTTTTCTCAAAAAAGAAGAAAAAACAATAAAAATAAATAATTAAGAAATGAAGCATTAATTCATATAATTTATAGTATAAATTATAAATTTTATACTTTTGTAAATAATTTTGGGTTGTTATCATTTTTATGTTTTTTTTTAAGTATAATAAATTGTTTATGGAAAAAACTTCGCATTTTGCTTCTTCGTGGGAAGAACAAGTGATTAAAAAGAATTGCATAATTACTCCCATTGAAAAGGGTTCAAATTGTTAAAGTCAAAGTACTTAATGTTTAAGAATTATTCCAACTTTTAAAAAGATACAAATTTTATACCTATATTTTTTTACTATTTTCCATTTTTTGAAAAAAAATAAAAATATTCAATTGGAATGAATACATACTAAATGTTAGTGACATAACTGTAAATTCTATGAATAACGCGAAAAGGATGTAAAAGTCCTTGAAAATATTAAAAAAAGAAAAAATAGTAGTTGTTAATCTGTTTCTGTCCAATTTTGGAACGCAATTGCTTCCTTCCGAGCACTGGACATGAATTTAATATTTTTTGGAGTTTATAATTATGAACGACCTGTAATAATTTAACACACAATAATGTTTCCGGAATTAAATGCATATATTTTCAATGACTCAAAATGATGTCAGATTTTATTGTATTTATTGTCGTTAGGTCGTAAGAATCCTTAAGAATGACAAGTGCAAAATTTACAATAAATAACAACCATTTAAGGGAAAATCAATTTTTGTGTTCTTAAGTTTATTTTTAAAGACAGGGGAGGTTTTAACATACATATACATATGGAAGTATATATGGACGTATGTACATAAAAATAAAATATGTATAGAAATATCATCTAGACTTTGTTGTCGTTGTCGTCATCGTTATTGTCGCTGACGAAAAGCGTCCAATAAACCGAGGCAATAATAAAAACAACAGCGTTTGTCACTATTACAATTTTACAAAACTTATATAACAATAACTTGGGGTTGATTCGTGTTCGTTGCTTTCTTTAATTTCCTGCTAACTTTCAGTAGTACTTCTGTCATTAAAATTATATCCATATCGGACAATTTCTGACATTCTGAATATTAAATAAAGATTTCAATCATTCTAATTTATTGTATAGATTTCGAGCGTCCCTTGGATTGGACTTGTGCGAAGAATAAGCTGAATTTATGTAGCTATAGTAGTAACTTATATTCAATTAAACTTTTTTGTCCCAACATCACCGTGAAAAGAGCAATAACAACAATAACAACAATAACCAATATAACGTAACAACAAAATATATTCAAAAACAAAAAAAATAGAAAAGAAATACAGTAGATACATACATATGTATGAATGTTTGTATAATAAATACTAAATAACCAAACCCTTACAAGTTTATAAGAACTTAAACTATATTATCGTACTGCATAACGTGTTTGTGTCGACGGTCTTGTTAATAATTCGCTTATACGCAATGAGTTTTCGTAGTGGTAGAAGTGGAGGTGGAAGTGGAGGCGGTGACAGCGGTTGTGTTCACTCCGTATTGTATTTGCAGACATTATTTGCATTTTCCTTAATATTACTACCGCAATTGGCAGCGTCAACTGTTTTAGATAAATTGCGTGATGATCCAGATTTATCACAGGTAAGAAATAATATGATTTTACAATGAACTATAAATACATTTAGATAAACATAGTTACATATATATGTATGTACATTTATGTGATTCTCCGTATGTAATTAAAAAAAATAATTCAGATATTTGTGATATTTTTATTTCAAATTCTTTAAATGGACCTGTTATAATTTCATATTGTTCCTTTGGAGAAAATGTAAAAAAATACAACAATTTTAATTTCTCTCAGGGACATTGATATTTTTACCCATATGTATGTATGTATAAAATACATACATCTATAGCCAACTCAACACAATTTCAATTTCAAAAATTATGTATATTTTTATGCAATTACTGTTACTTCAGCATTTTGCTATTTAGATCTTTTACTCCATAATTCATTTCGATTTAGATTTCATTAGTAAGCTTGGTTAGTATGGTCAATTCGACTCTTTTAAATCGAAATAATTGAATGTTATTATTCACTTATATAGTTAAATGATTTATTTGTATAATTGGGTCATATGGGGTTTTAATAAATTTATACTGAATCTATAAATAATTTCTCTCTCTTCATTAATTGATATTAAAAATTAAGTTCAAACGAGGATCATTTCAAATATTTGAACTCGAGCAAATAAAATTTGTGAAAAACTTTTAAGAAAAATGTGCAAAATTCAATTCTCAATACTAAATGGAGACTATTGATTTTTCTTTGCAAAAAATCTATATTATCTATTTATGTTTGACAATAGTTTATCACTGTAAAACTAATTCTCAACATTACAACAATATGGGATTATAATTTATATGTAGTTATGTATGTATGTATCTATTTGTATTTACCTACATATTATTATATATTAAAAACACAAGTACATATGTATGCACATATTTCACTTTAATACCTATACCTGTGGTAACTTTCTGACTTTTCTATTTATTATATAAATACAAATTTGTATGTATGAATGTACAATGTTACCAACAAGTTCGTTTTATAAATGTGAAAAGTAATTGTTGTATTCAAAGTACATCACACATTTAAAGAAAGGGAAAACAGAAGTAGAATTCTGCTTAGATGAAAAAGGAAGGAATACATACCTCTAAATATTAAGTTTCTTTCTTCTTTTAAGTTTCTGGTCACTTGTATCCATTTCCAATTTAGACATTTTATTAATACATTACAGTACATACTTGCATAGATATTCATAAATAATATGTACCTAACAATATTACATACTTAAATACTGTTATTTTATTTAAAAAAATCATGTTTTCTAAAAAGGAGAGTGTGAGCATAGTGTTTTCTTTTCTTATTTCAATTACTTAGTCTGTCCTACACAGAGACATACATTTTTAGTTCCTTGAGTATCCACTTTAAAAAGGGTTATGTATATCTTTCTCTGTTTTAATTACAGAATTTTTCGTTTCCTTACAATATAACATTTATTCTAATAATACATCCTTTTATATCCGTAATTTAAAAAAAGCAAGGGAAACCAAATACATATACTATATGTATTTGGTTTCCCGTGGAAAATAATGTTAAAAAGTTTAAAAAATCAATTAAATTGTCATAAAATGTACGCAAAAAATTAATTAACGTTTGAAATTTATTTTAAATGTCAAATGATACACAAGTTGTAAAATCTATGTTATTTATTATGACGTGTTTAACAAAATATCTATTTTAATAACAATTAATCTCAGTTAGATATAGCAATTATTTTTAAGAGATTAGTTTTCTTTGACAAATATAAAATAGCATTTTTCTAAGGAACAGGTGGAACAGTGGATCTATTGTTTCCGTATTATATACACCCGACCTTAGTTACTACAGTAATTACATACAAAGGAACAGGTAGTATTGATTTTTCCAAAAAAAAACCTATAACAAGGTCAAGGATGTTTAGCAGGTTTGCTGTATACCTTTTCCTTTTGTTTCAAATAAATCAACCATACATAGTAAATGTACTTAGTACGCACGTCGAGTCTTAGATACAAGCAACTACATAAATATACAAAAATGCATATGTATATATGACATACACATACATATGTATGTACATACTAAAGTCAGAAAAGTCGGATACACTAAAAACAATAGTAATATTACAGAAATGGCAAATAGTAATTTATTAGTTACTTGTATTCATGAGTTAGTTATTCGCAAATAAATACTATTAAATTTGTAATATTGTTATACTAACAAAATATTTTAATAATGATACTTTTCCTTTTTAAAGCGAAAACATAGCAAGACGTTGAAAGTTATGATTACGAATGGGATCTCCTTCTTATATTTTAAGAATGAAAAAATGTTGCGCAAATAGATTGCATTCGATTAGCCCTAATACATATACATATTTGGGTAAATATGAAGAATAATATACATATGTCAAGGATTTAGCAGACGTACCTACATATATGTATAAGAAATTATGCGTAATAGTTTTATTTGTTGTTATTCTTTTTGGACTTCAAATAAGGAATAACATTATTCACAATTTAAATTTGTTGAAATGTAATGAAATGTGGAAACAAAGTTCCTTGATATTTCTAGCTGATGTCCTTTTAAAGATAATAATAAATATATGGGCAATTTCGTGTCAAGTGACTCAACTCAAAAAATCGATTTTGTTGAAATTTCTTTTGAGCAAAAAAAAATTCAACAACAACAAATGGAAAAATAGGGGAAAATTAAGTGCCAAATATTGAAAAAAATTTATTCTTGAGCTAAAAAATAATTTTTTTGATAGATATCGCATTCCATTATGGTACTATAAAGCCCTCAAAGGAAATTGTTCTTTCTTTTAAGCAAAAAAAAGGGTCCATTTTGAAAAAAAAAATAATTTTTTTTGGAAACAATGAAGAAGTAGCTATCTGACAATTTTAACTATATTTTTAACTTTTTTAATTTAAATTTAAAATAACACAAATTTATTAAAAGCAAACAAAAAATATCATTAGTAGCAAAAACTACATCGATACTTTTGCAATTGATCGATTTATACTTCCTTTTTAAAAGTAATTAATCATAACATTCGAATAAGTGAAAAATATGATCTGAATGACATTTTCCAAGTTATAATTATGATCGTTCTTTCTTTAGTGGGAAGTTATATTAATATTTTTCTGTTTAATAGATAATAATTCAAAAACTTAAATATCTGCAAAAGCAAAAATTGTAGCAATACTTACAAGTAAAAATATTAATTTTAAATATCACAATGAATTGTTTATCATTTTAATTTTGTTCAGCGTCATGATTGACCTTTTAAATTGTCGTTCATTGTCAACGAACGTTGGTTTATGTTTTATGACCTAACTTCCTGTGTATCTGACATTACATACACTCTTAGCGATGGCTGTGATGACACTGACAATCATTAATATCATCATCATAAAGAATGCACACAAAATGCTTCTACTTTTCGTCGTTATTTATAAAATGTATTGAAAGTTTCTTCTAAGTTTATACATGTAGATCTATAAATTTTGCTTTTCAACTTATATCATGTTTGTGTTGATTAAGCTACTTTTACATTATACCACAAGTAATATGATCTGTCAAAATATTGTGTAGAAGAGAACGGATGGGATAGTCTAAACGCAATATGTAATGAAACCATCACACAATGAGAGAAAATACGGATGGAAAATTTGACAGTCGTATGGCTCTCTTCATTTAATGAAATGATTCAAAAAATAAGCTTGTCGCTTATTTTTGATCTAATGCGACAAGCTTATTTTTTGAATCATTTAATTAAATGAAGAGAGCCATACGACTGTAAAATTTTTTATATAAAAAAAGAAAGAGCTATTGTATGATGCAATGGACCATTTTCAATCAAAAAATCATTTTACAATTTTCATATTATTAAATGATCAAAAATTTTAATGAATGATAAATTTTTAAGAACCGATCAATAATTAATCCAGTTGTAGAATACATTTTTGAAAACACATCTCGAGTATGATGCAATGGACCATTTTCCGCCCTTTGCATTTCAGGTGACGATATATTATTATCTATAGTTTTTTAATGCTTTTTATTATCAGGCATGGATACGTTTTATTTCGAAATTTTATTCTAAATAACGTCTAGAATACGGTGGATATACATATGTACTAGCTATGAGAACATTTTTTATGTCCATTGATTTGTTACTTGATCATTAAATGTAATACGCATTATATTTTTGAGATTCGGAAGATTAACATTTTTATAAACTCGTAAAATTATTTTATAAACTACTTTTTTCTCTAATATTTTGTCTATTATCTCTTAAAAAGTTTAACGGCAAAAATGTACAATAGCTGTGAGCTGCCCATCTCCGATATCTGTAGTGAGAATGTAAATGTACAATGTATTGTAGGCGTTTATTTCATCCCATAACTATCATGTATAGCTGTAGCTATGAATGATAATAATAATAACAATAATGATGACGGTGATAATGATAATGATGACGATGATGCACTCATTTGTTCAATTAAATTTAATTAAAGATTAAAGCAGAAACGGCGTTGACCTTAATGTTATTCATGTCGATAAGTGTTCCAAACACACGCTGCAATTCAAAAAAGTAAATAAGAATCTTGAAGATTGGAACTGAAATAAAACAATATCCACATTCACATGAATATTCATACATAAACATATCGTTATGTATGAATTAGCTTTGCAAACAATGCAAAGCTAAACGTTAAAAATAAAATTGTCTAATGTTTATAATGTTTTACAAAAAGTAAGAAAGTATAGTTGGGCATAGCCGACCATATGATACCCTACAGGAATTATTAATATATTTTAGTGTGAGATTAGTTTAGTCCATTTTTTGAGAGATAACGAAATATTAAACATAATTATGAGCCTCAAAGCGGTATTTGGGGGTACGCTTGTTGATCGGTTTTCTTTAACGTGGGTGTAGGACCAATATTTCTGTATGCACAAACGCATAATACCATTCTCCTTTCTGTAGGGTATAGCAACTAAAAATTATACAGCCAGAGCTTCTTGAAAATCATACTAATTTTATATACTACATACTCATACTCTTGAGAATATTATAATAAAATATTTGGTGGGTTTGTTTTTTGACTGACGATATATTACACTACATAGAAAGAATTTATCTAACTATGTTGTAATGCGAAACAGTGTTAGAAAATCATTGGTAATCTTAAACAATTAATATAAAATGTTTTAATTTGTCTTTATTAACAATGTAATTGCCACATTTTTTTTATTAAGAATGTTTTACAAAAGTGTACAGTTAATGCATGAAAGCGAAATGAAATTTAATTTAGTAATTGTATCTTGCATTCCATAATTAAAGAAACTTAAAAAAACTGAACCCTCTACAAACAACCCCTATTAAACTAGACATTTTTAATAAAAGTTCTTTAATTTTTTTTGAACTTATTAAGAATAAATGAATATGTAGTTATTAAAAATAAAAAAATATATATTAACATTGGATGATTTTCAATTCGTTTTCAATATTTCTGTGGAGTTTTAACAAAACTTAAGCAAGCGAGTAAAACATTTCAGAAATATTTTTAATATTTTTAATTCTAAAAAAGTTTGTATTGTATTAAGATAGGATTTAAGATAATTTTTAATTTATTTTTGTTAAAAAAGAAATGATTTGTATGTATTTTTTAAAATTTAAAATATAAATTAGAGAGTTTTTAAAAGGAGTTAGCATTTTTCCTTAACCTGTTGATTAATTTGAAAATCATAAACTTCTGATAAGATGTGATTCTCAAAAACGGGGAAAAGTGTGGAACAAAGTCTAATAGCTTTGCAGTTAGTTAAAAACAAAATGTTTAGAGTGGTATTTTAAAATAAATTTAATAGATCTATACAAATCGGAGTTCTTTATAGAGGTGTACATTGTGGCTTTAGTTATCTAGTAAAATGTTCAATTTGATAATATACATACATAAATTGTACTTATCTTATCCAGTTAGTTTATATGTATGATGCTTCATTGTCCTTTACTCACACATACACACAATTACAAAGATAAAGAAGAAGTACTTTAAAAGAATCATACAACAAGACATTAAAATCCTTTAAAACACTCATGAAACTTATAGACAACCATAGGGACAGTCATGCATAAAACTCCCCAAAACATACATACACCCTAAAATACGGTTTCATTTTGGCCTTAATGGAAATGGTTTTTTTAAAAAACGTGTTTTATGGCCTTTTTTTCTTACAGACTGCATCATTACGGAAACTAATGCCTGTTAGGGTAAGATATCCCAAAAATTTTAAATTAAACAGTTGATAAGTTTGTTACGTTACGTTCGTTGAGTTCTTTGTTTTCTGTTACTTTCATCAATATTTTCATTTTGTTTTTTTTCTTTTAATTTCCATTTGTATCCTGGTAGTATGGAAAAATCAATTTATATGTATTTTTTAAAACATACATACATATATATAAATATATGTAGATGAATATTTACTGGACGTTGTACATGTATTATTTTATATTTTTTGTATTAATATATTTAGTTAACAATTTCGTTATACATACAATTTATATTTTGTTACTGTTTATTTATTGTTGTATTTTATTTATTGTAAGTTGCATTTAAGGCTTGGCTTTTTATAACTACTTACTGTAATAGGGTTGATTTCTGCCGACCTTTAAGGTGTACATACATATGTTACTTGCCACTATACCGATAGTAACAGTCAGTATTTGTTGGGTGGAAAGGTGCAATTATATACCATATGTCCAATATTATTACCCGCAAAATATTTTAGTGAGGTTATAAAAGTGTGAACTTTCAAATGTACTTAACTTCGATAATATCCCTGAATTGCATTTAAATTTATAGCATTTCAGTCGACTCATCCCAATTTTTTTATGAAGACAGCCACTTACATGACATAAACACTCACCTAAATATACAATTTTCATATGAATTTAGAATTTAAATAAAAAATAATAAATAAAGAATTTAAAAAAAAACGCACTGTTGTACGGTATTATATGGTCGGTCATCCCCGGCTGTACGTTCTTACTTGTTAAAAATAAATAAAGTGAAATTTATATGCCCCTTATAACACACTGAATGTCGTTTTGCGGTCCAGAAATACAATAACAAAAATTTGAATTATTCTTCTCGCGATAAGATCAAAATTACAGAATTTTTGAGACCCATTTCGAAAAGATTGCAGAAATTGTTTTGAACATATTGTACAGAGATCAAGATTTTCAGTCGAAGGTAGGGAACTGAGGACCTTTACAAAAAAATAGTTTTTTATTTGTGTAGTATTCAGTACATTAAAACCCATCGTTTGAGAGGTATTCCTCCAAAAATGTGGTCCACGAGACACCTTAATGTACATACATACAAATATTTGATTGGTCTGAACGTACCTTATGATCTACTAGCAATAAACTAATGAGGGTTATAAATATTTCAAAAAATTACATAAACATTTTGAACAAGTAAGAGTGATATAATTGGTTATGCTGAATTTTATGATAATTTCATAATTATTGATTTTCCGTAGGTGAGGTTATATGGGGAAGTCGTGATAATTATGGTCGAATTCTAATAAAATTTGAATATCGAATTTCATTGCTACTTTTAAGCCAGTTATTAAAGTTAATTATTTTTCGAAGGGGACTTTATATGAAGGCCACGGTCCAATACGAAATAATTTTTGGATGTACAAAACATAATTGTGAAAATTTACAATCTATAATCCTATACGATCCATAGTTAACAACCAATATGTATAAAAATTATGGGTTAATTCATTATTAGAAGTATAATACCTAAGTTATCGTTTAATTTATAAATTAAGGAATCATGGAATTCCTAAACCCTACTCAGAGAAATATAACTCGTGCACTATTTTTATGAGTCGGTCTAATGTGCACACTTTGTGTTTGCAGGAAAAATAAAAGGCTTAACAATTTTAATAATTTTATCAATAAAGCTACATATAGTTTTACGAATTTTGTTTTTAAAAACAAACAGAAACCGTAAGGTGGAATGACAAAAGTAACATATGCCACTTTGAGTAGCATGGTGATAGATGATTCTAAGACTGAAGCATGTGCTATAACCAGTAATTGCAAGGGCAGGTGACAAAACTGTACGCTTTAGGGGTGATTTTTAATACCAATTTAATAAACCGAAATGAGTCAATATTTTTACACAATTAATTTGGAAAGTGGTATGAGTGTTTCATTATTGTTTTCAAAAATCTATAATTATAATAATAATTTACCTATGTATTTATATTTGTTCTAAAATGCGTTCAAAATTTCAGTACCCGGTTATTTTGTTTATTTTGGTTTAACCTAGTATTATTGGCCGGTTAAACTTAAACACAATCGACAAATCCTATAAAATAATCAAGTCGGAAGAAGAAAAAATTTTAAGTAAATAATAGTAATTTTATGATTTGTTTTACCAATATTATTATTTTTTTCAATGTTTTTAATTGAAATTGAATTACTAGAGTCTGCGTAATATAAGCGAATTTAAACTTTTAGCTGAAATACTGACAGAATCTCAGTTGTTTTTAAGAATAGTTCAAATGTTTCGATGTTTATCTTCGAAGTCAAAACTGAAGTTGGAAGTGTATTTCAATATTCAATAGAGTGTTTTTCACGCATGCTTTTGTTCCGTTATGTCAAATTTAAATTTTAAATGTTTAAATTTAAACAATAAAAATGCACTGATGTTGCCGGGTTTCAAACTTAGATTACCGATTTCATATAACGATAATAAAATTTTGAAGCACTTCTTAGTTCACTATTTTCTCATTCCATTCTTATTTTTCTTCCCAAATCTTTGTAAATATCAAACAATAATTTGAACAAGAGTACATGCTTTAAAAATAAAACTGTTATATTTTAAATATGTATATCCTTCTCTTATTTTCAGTTTTACAGCTTGTTGGAACAAAATCCTATTGCGAATTCAACATTATCATTAAGAGCCTGTACATTGTTCGTTCCCACAAATGAAGCATTTCAACGGCACCATGATACAACCTACGTCCTCTATCACATGGGTAAGAGTATTGTTAAATGAATAGAAAGGGAATTTTCTAATACTCTATTTTTATAGCTACTGTCGCGATGACTCAGGACCAACTTACTAAGACCATACCATCAGATATGGATGGAAATCCCCCATTGTATATAACGAAAAATCGTAACGGTGATATTTATGTTAACAATGCTAGAATCATTCCATCGCTGTCTGTGGAAATGACCAATAATGACGGCAAAAGACAGGTTTGTACTTTAATTGTAAACGGAATACAATGAATTTGAACATTTCCCATCTAAACATTTTTAGGTAATGCACATCATAGATGAGGTTTTAGTACCTCTTACATCGCTACCAACTTCCAAAACGGAAATTACAAATCCAGACGCATTTCAATTTTTGCAACAAGCTGATTTACTTAACATAGGAGAAAATCGTTTAAGGTTGGTTGAGAGATTCTAATGTTTTCGCATTAAAAGTATTAAATATTAATTTCTATTTAGATCGTACCGTTCTCAAGTCACTGTGATGCGAAAAGAGAATCTATATCAGTCTCCCGGTGGCCATACCTTCCTTATTCCGGTGGACGAAGGTTTTAAGGTAACAGTATTGCGATCATATTTTGAATATTTTTTAACTGAATAATTTTTAATATTTTAGCAAACTACCCGTAGCAGTTTGGTAGATAATAAAGTCATTGATGGCCATGTTATTTTAAACAATGTGATATTTACGTCGGCTGCTCAAATTGAAGTGCCTCAAACCACTGCCGCCTTTGAGGATAATATTAAAGTAACAGTTAGCTTTTCCAAACAAAAAGAAGGAAAAAGTAAGTCATTAACCGTTATGTCAATACCCACATACCCGGGTATGTTTTTCATTTTTGAAGTGATATATCTCGAGATCTATATATCGTATCGACTTGAAATTTGGACTATGCTTTCAGAGTAATGATTGCTGAATTAGTTAGATATATATTTTTTAAACCGATTTATGACCGATTTTCTAATTTTACCTCGTACATCAGTACCCAACATATCCGGGTATGTATAAAAATTATATGTCAGTTATCGGACAAAAATTAAGTTTCATTATAAATTTTATGTTTTATTATTAGAATTATATATATTCTTGTATCTTATGAAAAAAATTAAGATAAATAACAAATTTTGTTTCAAATACAGGGTCATGCGTCATTGCTTATATAATAACATTTACAAATATGGACCGATTTTGTTGAAATTAATTTGTTTATTGTATATGACTTAGTAAAGTAATATTATACCGATTATAATAATTTTCTTCTTATATTAGCAAAAATATTTAAGTTTGAATTTTCAAATTTTAATTTTTGACCATGACTTAGCAATCTTTTTTTGCAAAAAAGTTCCCTACTAACGAAAGCAAAAACAATTTCTTTAATGTTAATTGATTTTATATACCTTAATGAATAATATAGAAAAAAGATTTTTCAATTACCTTTCCCGGTCACTGAGTAATAGCTTCTTAAAGTCAAAATTTTACAAAGTCAAATTCTGCATAATGTACATACATTCTACGTTTTTTTAATTAAGAAAGCAATGAGAAAACTTAAAAAAAAAATTAAATTTAATGGTATGTGGTCAAAAACTATTTAATTTATTTATTCATGGGTTTTATTAAATTAGTTTTAATATTTATCTGAATTATACACTAGAAATATATAAAAAGATAAAATAGCCATATAAATTGTGTGACATACCCGGGTATGTTGGGTATTGTAATTTTGCTCGGGTATGGACACGACTTAAGTTTAATTTAATTAAATTTTTATTCTTATTGGGTTCTTGAAGAGACAGTCTTCTAACATATCGAGGGACTATATTCATAGTCTCTATCTTATATAACACTAGCTATCAGAAGAGCAAAACAACCTTTTATTTCGCTAGTTCAAGAAGAATTTAAAATTTTGCATTATTTGCAAAATTATTTAAGAATTTAAAAAGCTACTTTCTACGAAAATTTCCATACAACCAACTAATCGAGAAAAAAACTAGTTTTTAAAAAAGCACTACACAGCAATAATATTAAACTAATTATTATAACGAACGCTATCTCGAAAACAATTATTCCGATTTTAGATATTTTATATGATTTGAGTTCAGCATGTCCAAATATTAAGAAAACTTTTTGTGCAGCAGAAAATTATCCTAACTAATAGGATATAAAGCGATTTTTGTATAGAAAATTTTGGATTCACAAATAAATCTGAATTTTTTTTAAATAATGATAAATAATAATTATATAACTCGGAGCTAATTAAATTTCAAATAAATAATCATACTTATAGTTCTCGAGTTCTCTTGCGATCTATGGAGCAAATCCCCACGAATTAAAAATATTTACATTAAATTTTATACTTTGACTATTTTGCATTTCATAAGTTCAGTCCAAAAACACAGATTTTTGAATTATTACCTTATTGAAGTGAATGAGCGATAGAACTTCATTGAACTAAATCGTACTGCGTTTTCCTTTCTAGTGTATGTTAAATCGAATACTTTGCTGGGAGATTCAAAGCATGCTACTGGTGTGGTATTAGCTGAAATTGTTAAGGCAAATATACCAGTACGTAACGGTGTTGTGCACTTAATACACCGGCCACTGATGATAATTGATACGACCGTAACACAATTCCTACAGGTAAGCCAACAATATCTAAATACATAAACACAACTAACATCCAACAATAACAGCAGAAATAAAACAAAAGACATAGATACTTTTCACGTTGTGTCAAATAGTTTTTAAAAATAAAAGAAAAAAAATCAAATCCATAATATACACACATAGGCAAACATTAAACATGTACATATGTATGTGTATTGTGAAAGTAGATATATTTATCTAATCCTTGACTCAGAAATGCCTCATAATCGTATGCTCGTACATACTTACATACTATTTCAAAGTAGAGAAATGGGTAATGGGGCAGAAGTATCAATGGGCTTGGTTTAACTAAACAGGATTAGTTGCTATATACATAAATAACCGTATACATAAAGTTAAGACTATTATAAAAAATATTAAATATTTTAAAGGATAAATGTAACTTGATGCTCCGCTAAAAAACACATGATCATGTATGGCTTTGTTTTTATTTTGGGTCTACAACATATTTAATCACACATAAAATTGCTTAGAATATTTATTTCTAGCCTTTTCTCAAGAGACTCAAATAAGAACAAAGCTTTCTGAACGTCCCTCGAAATTACACATTACACACAACAACACATACACATATACAGACATACAATAATAAGAAACTAAAAAAAATGAAACCCAAAGACAGATTTTACTTGAACTGAATATCTCAGAATGTTTTATGATTTCAACATTTTCAAACGATTTAATCAAAAACTACATTCGGTTCTTAGTAAAATCAAAAGCAAAATTTTATTTTAAAATAATTTTTAAAATATAAATTTTATTTTAAAAAAATTTTGGGTGTAATGTAAGTATTCTAATAACAAAATTAATAATGAATATCATTTACAACTCATTCAAAAAATTTAACCTTGTAGTTACCTTAACATTAATTACTCTATGAATGTGAGCAATTTACCGATCCTCATAGAATTTGGTAGACAAACTTTGACTCGAACAAATCCTATTCACGTTGAATTTCATCGCTTTACACGCATTTTTAAGTCAGTAATGAGCGTTAAAGTCATTTTATGAAAGGGGACCTTATATGTGGGGTAGGGTCAATTATGGACTGATCCTCATAAAAGTTGGTAGAGAGATTTTGGTTTGCATAAGACTTGTTTTTGTGCAATTTCATTGCTATACGGGTATTATTTATCCAATTATGACTGTTAAACCTGTTTTCCGGGCGGGTCGCTTGTATGGGGGATATGCGAAAACGTGGACCGATATTGCCCATTTTAAATACCAAACAACTTGCATCAATAAGAAGTATTTGTGGAAAATTTCTGCCCTCTAGCTTTTTCCGTTCGGACTCTATCGTGTTTTTAACAGACAGGCGGACAATCGGAAAATACAATTTGACATGTTGCCTATATAGATACATACATACATAATATTTAATTGATCTCGATTTGTTTTAAAAGTATGTATGTATAACTCGAACGTTTTGTAATACTATTAAAGAACTACAAGGCTAAATACACATTCTATTGCATACTTCCTTTACACTTTCAAATTAAAAATTAAAAGAAATTACAAATTGTTGCGCGTAATTGTTTAGTTCGGGGTTTGAGAAGAGTTTTGTTTAGATAATTGGCTAATTACAGACTTTGGTTTTATTTCTTTTTATTAAACTAAATTATGTATTTACGAATTGGCATTTCATTCTTCTACAATATATTTTAAATTATGCTCGATTGTTTTTACAAAATTTTTTTACATATAATTTAATTACATCCATATAAATAAATAGCTGTATCATTTGTATCTTTTTGTTTTTGTCATTTAAGAAATCTTTTTTCTTGTACATAGTTTTATTTTCTTGTTCAATGTAATTTTCAATATTTTATACTAAATATCTATTTTTTTTTGGTAAAATTGTGTTTTCGTCAATATTTTAAACTTGCACCAACTGGATTTCTTTGTTGTTCTAACTGCAATTATTCTACCAATGTTGTAGTCATTTAAGGTAAATATTGAACTATTTCCTAATACTTGTTTAAGTTTAAATACATAGAATAATGTTCAAATAATTATATATTTTAGTATAGACTTAAAAATATCGAAAGTTTTGTGAATCTATGCTAAACTTTTTACAACAGGCAGTGATGCCAGGAGATATTTTTCAAAAATCCCTACGCTTATGAGAAAAATCCCTATTTTCACTACACCTACTTTTTATTTTCCCTACATTTTTGCCTACACTACCCTTTAAATTTTTTCAGGTTTATTAAAAAAAATAACAAGAAAATAAAAAGCTAAAGAATTAAATTTGTTTATAAGATATACATATATAATATATATTATTTTTTTTGAAATTAATTTTTAAAATTTCCATTTTAAAGTTTTATTTTTTTACATTAAATTTTACATCATACTCCAACTCTGACTCTCATATAAGAATCTGAACATAACATTGAAAACAAAAAAACCATTGCAGTCCCTAAACCATTGCTGCCCCTAAAAAATATTTTCATAAAATTTTCATATAATTGCAACTAATGCCTGCTTTTATAAATTTTCAAAACTTTAAATTAAATAAAAATATCTCAACAGACAGACGGACACCGCCAAATCGACTTTGCTATCTATAAGGAATCATAACAAGACTAGCATAATCGAGAAAAAGTTGTTTCGAGAGAAATGGCATACATATTCAGATAGTTGAGATTATTATGTTTCGCATCTAAATTGAATTGGTCTCTATCTAATATTCATGAAAAAAAATTGTTTTATTCGCTAAAAACTATAAAATTGAAAAAAATCCCTACAATTTCACAAAAGTAAGAAATCATTCCCTTTTTCCATACATGTGAAATTTAAAAAAAAAAATCCCCGCAAAAAGGGAAAAATCCCTACACTTGGCATCACTGCAACAAAGTCTCTTTTAATTTTTAAAGTGTCCAATGAAGAAATAACTATTTTAATAACACAGCGCGAAAAAATCAAATTAATTCATTTTCTTGGTCTAATGGAGCAGATCACGATACTGTATTAAGAATTTTTGTTAATCCTGGAAAAATTTTTATATGGACTATTTCGTATATGTATAAATTTTTTGAAATATTTAAGTCTTTTGGATAATTTTTGCCATGTCCTATAGGTGAAAAGTTACACTACGGCAGTTCTTGACCGATAGAGCGGAAAATTCCAATAGTACTAACCTTGGTTCAAATTTCATCCAAATCGATTTTTTAAGTTGGGAAGAATATATCGTCACTTTAATTATTTACCAAATAAAAACTGTTTAATAACTATTTAAAACTGCATTAAAATTTTCTTTCATCTTAACCATTGATTTTTATCATATTTCTTTCACCTTGGGAAAAAAAAGTAAATGTTAGTTATATTAAGGTGACGATATAAAAATATTTATTTTGTTTTATGCAGCTAAAAATGTAAAATCTGGTTAAAGAATTTCGTTTTTAGGGATAAATGTTAGTTTTTGGGGTAAATATTATAAATATTATAATCAGATGCGAATAGGGTGAACATATTGTCACTGAAGCTCTGTATAATGGAAAAAGTTAAAAATAAATAATAATTTAATTTTCACAACTTAAAAATTTGTTACGAATATAAAAAGCAGAACCTGCAAAGAAGGGATATTTCCAAAATATTTTAAAGTATCATTAAAAAACCCTTTAAAAAATGTTATAAGTTTTACGAAAACTCCACATAATTCCGCATATACCGTAATCGGCACCTAAAACGAAATTTCATACATTTGCACTGAAAAAAGTTAGCTTTTCGTTATTATTTAGGTTATTGAAATCAAAATTATATTGTTCCTAATATTCATAAGAATTTTATATTCTGGAAGGGCGTTAAATATTAAAAATATATATATTTTCTTCATTGTACTAATTTAATATTAATTAATAAAAATATTAACTTAATTTTCAAACTATATATTTGTCATTATAACTTGGGAATAAAATAATTTGTTTTTTTTATTAAATGGCGCGATGAACTTCAAATTGTCAAAAATAAACTTCAATAATCAACTTAATCTCAAATTTCAAAATCAAAATACACAATACATAGGCAATAGTAAGTATCTAACACTGTATCAATAAGTAATATATTTTAATATTATTACACATATCCACTACTTAAGTCACATACATACATATACGTATTAGCCGAAACATAGAATTTTATTTCCTTAATCACTGCTTTTATCATTACTTCAATGTAAAAAAAAACGAAAGATATCATTTACATCAAAGTAAATCGGTCAAATCTTTATTATTTTCAATACTTTGTCATATTTATATGTATGTATAGTACGTGTTTATGTAATGCTTTGATTGTATCAACTTCTGATAATTAACGTGACTATTATCCGAGATTTGTGCGCGTTTATTTTCAGTAGATGATCAAAATGTTTGCTATAATTTTGTCCTTTTTGTATGTAGTATGTATCAAGTATGTACTTGCACGATGAACAAAATTTAAAATTCTCCAATATGCTTTTTTTCATTTCATTATTATGCTTTTATGATCAAACAACATTATAATCCGTACAGAGTATGGCTTTTGTGAATTACACAGAAACAACATAATTAAAATACTTTTTTTTATTATTACATATGTATAAGAAAACATCTTGTTATTTAATATTGTACTTTATCGCTTTCAAAAAAATCACGTAAGAGTGATGAAGAAGCATTTGCTCGATACGGTTGCTCATCGAATAAATTCAAGACAGATAGGAAAACTTAATAAACAATATTATGATTAAGTATATTAGTTATACTTTTGTTTCCTTACGGGTCTGGGATTTACAAAATAAATAAGATTATATTCAATAGACTGGGTCCGAAAAATTCAAACCTGGTGCTATTCTATAAATTGCAAAAGAAGATATAACATTTTGCAAAACAAATTATGGAATTTTACTAACATTCTTTTAAAAAAGTTAAATTACATATGCGTTTTAATTTTAACTGCCAAGTGGGATTCGCCAAAAGCATTTCATTCATTAAAAACATAATCGAAATATATTTTCCCACATTACACTAATACATACTTATAAATAGCAGAAATCCTTTATTTCCATTGTTTGTTCTTATCATTCAATCAAATACCTTTAGAAAAGATGTAAAGTTCTCATAAATGCAAATAATTTTCACACAAGTACTTATAATCAATTGCAAATTAAAAATATACATAGAGTATAAATAATTACTTTGTTAAACATTGCACGAGCATTTCAACGAATAATATTACAATTTTAAGTTTATAAATTTAATTTTTTTTCATGTAGGAAAATGAGAATGGAGCTTTGCGAAAGTTCCTTGAAGTAATTATGGACATTGGTGGCCAAGTCTTAGATGATATTAACAATTTCGGAGATGTTACAATTTTAGCACCCAGTAATGAGGCCTGGAATAATTCAGCTATTAACAATATTATTAGGTTTGTATCGAGTTTTTGTAATTTATTCAGAAGATCATTTTTTAAAATTACTTTTAAATTTCAACAGAGATGTTCCAAAGATGCGGGAGATATTAAATATGCACATTATTAAGGATCGCCTAAATGTAGATAAAATCAAGGAAAAAAATCAAAATTTAGTAAGTCTGAAGGAATTTTAAATGCAAATTTCTATGTTTAAATATGTACTTTTTTTCCTTTCAAAGATTGCACAGGTTCCCACAGTAAATAACCGTACATTCCTCTACTTCAACATTAATGGCGAAGGATCGGATGAAGTGATTACTGTTGAAGGCGGTGGAGTGAACGCAACTATCTTGGAAGCAAATGTCGCCAGCACTAACGGTTATGTTCACATTATCGACAAAGTTCTTGGAGTTCCTTATACTACAGTGCTGGGCAAATTGGAAAGTGATCCTATGCTAAGGTAATACTATTCGCAATAAACTTATACACAGAATATCAAATAGCACATCAAATAACTTAAAAATATCTCTTTATAGTGATTCATATAAATTGGGACAATTTTCAACATTCAACGAACAACTGAATAATACACAAAGACGTTATACGTACTTTGTTACACGTGACAAGGGCTGGCAGAAAATAGGATTAGATTTCCCTTCAGTGCATAAGAAATTATTTATGAAAGACTTTGCCTATCACGTAAGTAAAATTATTTTTTAATAATAATTGTCATCGATATTTAGCGTTTGCCTTTATTTTTAAAGTCTCGCTCAATTTTGGAACGTCATTTGGTAATTGCTGACCGCGCTTATTCCATGAAAGATATGGTCGCTATGACAAAAGAAAGTGAATCAATTGTTTTGCCAACTTTCCGAGATTCTTTAAAAATTAAAGTAGAAGAAGAAGCTGGACGTAAGTATTAAAGAAATCTTAATTATTTAATCTTTTTGCGATTTGTTCTAATGAGCTAATAATGTTATGGGAGGTAATAATTTCTAATTTTTAATCTTTACCTTTTTTATAAAATTCAAAACCAAGATCTTCATGATGAATTCGCTTCTCATGATTGGACTGGTGAGTAGGGATACATTTTTAACATAATCAAGCAAAATTTCATTTTTAGAGAATTTCATTTGAAACATTTCCTAGATAAAAACAATGAATTTTTTGTGTTCTTTAAATGAAAAGTTAGACAAGAAAACACATAATTAATTGTAACATGTACATAATTCAGGAAAAAATAAAATAATTATAAATAATTTTGTGGGTCAAAAATACTCTAATTCCGCAATAAACCCAAAATTTAGAATTTTTGAGGCTCCACCACCAATCAATCTCGCGCTAAAAATAAATAATTCCTTATTTTAATAGAGGATCGAAATATGTTGAAAAATAAATATAGCAATAACAAATATCTACTATGGATGTCAATCGGGATTGATTTTTAGAAATACCAGATTTCGGGAATTTTAAATAAATCCCGAAACCGCTATATCGGTATTTCGGGCTTTCAGGATTTCTAAATCCCGCAAAATATAAATAAATTTTCAAGAAATCTTAGTAATTTACCGACAAAAAAATCACATTTTCTATTTCATATTACAATATAAATAGACTTAGTAAGTATTTACTAATACAAAAAGCTTTCCAATAAGCATTTTGTGAACTTTAGAAAAACAAATTAACTCAAAGTATAAAAATAATAAAATGCAGTCCTGGGACCTCCAGGATCATAATGGAAAGGAAAGGGGAAGAACATAGATAATAGGAGCAGATCGAAGAAAAACAGAAAATATTAGGAGATATTTATATATACATAGTTGCATAATCAACAGTTATAAGAAACTGAGAATAACTATGAACAATGAATTCATCCATTTCGACAAATTTAGAAATTATTAATTAATTGATTAATCATTTAATTGAACATTTGACAGATAAGAGAATAATTCCACCCTAATGTCTGGTAACTAGCTGTTTCTAGAACATGGAATATGAGTACCTGTTTCTCCTTCAAATTGATTTTAACAACTTTTACAGAAGTCGTTATAGGGTAAATCCATGCGCCTTGTATGGCTTCCAAATTTACAATTAGTTGAAACCTACTATTTACGTAGTATATTTTATGAGGATCCATACGAGGCTACAGCGTCTTAGCAATTGCGCAACTGTACTCATGTGACCATCCGTCTTGAGCTGAATATCGGATATATGGTTTTTAATGGCCGATAGGGGAACGCTACAGAACTGGTCTATACCAGTATAGCCATTGTAGTTCCAGCTTTGGCACATGTATCAGTAATATAATTACCAGTTATAACTCCGTGTCCTCTTACCCAAATTATCGTTTCGCCATCTTATTAGCAGAATGACTGCCAGCATAGATTCTGATATACCCATTAGATCTATGCCAATTTATTGTACTTTTTATTTTTTTATCAAAAACTATTAAAATCTTTAATTTAGTGGAAAAACACATTTTAAAATCCCGAATTTCGTCGGGATTTTAAAAAATCTCGGTTTTCGGTATTTTCAAATCCCGACAATTCCATGATTTTCGGGATTTCTAGTTAGTATTAAAATATTTGATTGCTAAGGCAAACGACTACATGTAATTTGAAGGCTTTATTTTAATATTACCGCTAATATACAGTGTTTTGTATATTGTATATTGTAACATAGGTACATACATACATACATATCTAAATATTTATATCAACAATGTTAATATAAGAACTTAAGTATTTCATATTTAGATTTACATACTCAATTCATATCTACAATTAGTGTTTAATTTTAAAATTTCTGAATTGTATTAAATAAATCCATTAAAAATTTTACATTTAATTTTGTAGGTTATGTCATCATTTGGAATTATAAAAAAATTAATGTCTATCGCCCGGATGTCGAATGTACCAATGGTATTATACACGTGATTGATTATCCAATGCTGGAGGAGAAGGATATCGTAGTGAGGGGAGGTAGTTATCAGATTAAATCTAACTTCTGCATATTGTTTGCAAATCTCTTCATAATAGCAATAGCAAAACTTTTCTAAACCAAAAACTAATTTAAAAAATTAAACGAACCAATTGTGTAAAAAGCGAAAAACAAACTTAATTAAATATAAACAAAATAATAAGTTCATAATAAAAATTTGAATTTCATACATAATACTCAAACATCAAAATACACATACATAATTTAACACCCCAATAAGCAAAAACCTTTGAAATGATGTAAATGTGTATTTGAAAACCTATTCAAATTTCATACATAGCCTTTGAGAAAAATTTTGAAAATTTTTGTTTTCAAATGGAAAATTATGGCCTTCTCAAACAAGAAGGCAGTTAGAAATCAAACGTATTTTTCAAATGTATTTCAAATTTAAAAAAAGGCTAGAGGTAAGCTTGAAACTAAAAAAAATTTCAAACGTATTTCAAGTATTCTTTATTATTATTTTCATATATATTTCAAACCCTAATTATGATGCTAACTATTGCAAAATTCATATATTTTTTTACATCACCTGAAAATAAAACATTCATACATTTATTTTAGCATATTTTTCTTTTATATCTCCGATTATTTCTCCTATATTTAACGTTTTTTCGCTCCCTTGCTGTAGAAAAAATGTTCTGTTTTTATTTTTCTAAAATAATTTATTTTTTGAAAGAAACTTTTCTAAGTTCAATTAAAACAAAACTTTGAAAATTTTATAAATATCACACATTATATTTTTTAAGCGTTTTTTGAAATTATCATGTTTATTTCAAAGGCTAAACTTTAAAATTTGAAAACAATTTGGAAAATACATTATTTAGTTAAGAAAATTTTCAAAAATATTCACAGGTTTGAATGTTAATGTGTGATATTTATAAAATTTTCAAAGTTTTGTTTTAATTGAACTTAGAAAAGTTTCTTTCAAAAAATAAATTATTTTAGAAAAATAAAAACAGAACATTTTTTCTACAGCAAGGGAGCGAAAAAACGTTAAATATAGGAGAAATAATTGGAGATATAAAAGAAAAATATGCTAAAATAAATGTATGAATGTTTTATTATCAGGTGATGTAAAAAAATATATGAATTTTGCAATAGTTAAAATTATAATTAGGGTTTGAAATATGTATGAAAATAATAATAAAGAATACTTGAAATACGTTTGAAAAATTTTTTAGTTTCAAGCTTACCTCTAGCCTTTTTTTTAATTTGAAATACATTTGAAAAATATGTTTGATTTCTAACTGCCTTTTTGTTTGAGAAGGCCATAATTTTCCATTTGAAAACAAAAATTTTCAAATTTGTTCTCAAAGGCTATGTATGAAATTTGAATAGGTTTTCAAATACATATTTACATCCTTTCAAAGGTTTTTGCTTATTGGGTTGGGACTAAACAAATACACTCATACTTTTACACACGTACGAAAACACTACATAGAAATATTTTAATTATTTTTTCAATAAAGTTCAATTATTTTTTAATCATGTTCTGTATGAATTTCAAATATAATAAATTAAGCCACTTTAGCCTTCATCACGCATTATGCATAAATACAACCTATATATACTTATAGTATATCAAATGAAACCTTTCATTTTTATTATAATTTGAATATTTTTTTTATATTTATTTGAAAATGTTGTGCGTTTATAGATACAAGTTATTTATCCAGAATTAATCATTAATCAAAATACCTACGAAATTTACATCTTATAGTTTTATTTTTTCATTTTCATGCATTATTTTTGAAGATTAATAATATTAATTTTCATGAATATACACACATATACATATATGTATTTGTATTCAATATTTGTTGTTTTTTTAGTCAAGCACCAGCAGAAACGTTAAAAAAATTTCCTTTTTTCATTAATTTTTAATTTTATTTATAACTTTTACGAGAAATATCACCGCGTTAAGCAATAAGTGAGACAGACATTTTTCATCACTCAATAAATTCATTCAAGTTTTATCTCAAAGCCATGAACGAATTTATATAAACTTCTTTTTAATATTTGTGTTCAACGAATCATTATATTAATACAATTAAAAATATTTTTTAAAAAAATTTTCAAAATTAAAATACACGCAACTAAAATTAAATGGAAAGTACAACAATTATGTACATGATAAAAATAATAATTACTTAAAAACTGCCGTTAAATTAAAAACACTTCAAATAAATAAAAAATCTTTTTTTAAAGAAAAACTCATTTGTAAAATAATGAATATGTACTACAATAATTGATCATAAAAAGAATCACAATCGAAAGCAATCATAAAATATCATTGTCATAATTAATTTATGAGTTTTAGCAAGAAGTATTTAAGTTCATGTATGTATAATTTTTCGAAGTATTTCGATTTACATAATTAGATGTATTAGAAATGCAATTATTTCACTATTATTTGATATAGTCTTCATTCCATTCCAATGAATGCATTGCAGTTCATACTTCATATTATGCAACAAAAACATGCATAATACCCTATACACAATACATATATACATATTAGATTAAATATTAAATTTTATTTTGAATTTGATACAACCCTCGACCATTCGTTCAATTTTATAGCCGCAAAAACTTTCCTCTTCTATCCTTTCACATTGGCACTCAAATCCCATATACTTCTGCTTTTCTTCTTTTAATATTAATTCTAATACTAAACTAATAATGATGAGATCATGAAGATGACGATGAATAATAATAATAACAATAATTAATAATGATGATAAATCAACTAAATCGTATATATATTTAATTTTATAGGTTAGACAATTAAATAACAATTTAAACCAAACAAATTCCCTTCAAAATACCAAAAAAAAAAAGTTAAAAAAATCAAAACCTACGAAAGAAACAATACAAAAATATAAAGAAAGCAAACAGCACTTCTTGTCATGTCTGATATTCTCAAAGAAAGGTTTGAACGAATGAGATATGCTCTCTCTTCTCTATGTCTCTCTAAAAGAATTACAGATTACATTTTTATTTTCCTTCATTTAATTATAAAATACATACAATTATCTTTTAGTTTAATTAACATTTAAAAAGATGCTTAGTATTTAATGTAAGTACTAGTTATAATTCAATTTAATATTTAATAATTTAATTAATAATATCTAATGGATTAAGCAAACTTCAACCTTTACATTAAGAAACAATAAACACAATACATACACCTAAAATTATGCTACCAAAACAAAAAAAAAAAAAAAAACAAACAAAAATGTAAGTGTGTGTGTGTATAGTTTTGACTCTGTTATTTAAATTAAATTAATGATATTTTAATTGTATGCTAAATCAAAATCATTTAAAATAACATATAATATATGTATGTATGTATAAAAAGTAGATTCTCAAAATACACAAAACACACCACACCCACCAATATAAAAAAAGTTTTAAATCATTTTAATTTAAATCATGATAATTTAAAATATGTTTGAATTATAAGAAGGTAAAATAAAGATACTAAAGGACGACCAGCAATAAACCAACTGGCTTTGAAAATTTTTAATTGTACAAGTTCTATAAAAGAGTTGAAAATACATACACAGTTCATAAAAATTGGTTTAAATTTAACCAGTCGTTGGATTGTCATTGGCTGTCCTTTTCAGGAGTTAGTTCAGTTAAATTGTTTATAATATAAAGCTTTAACTACATATGTATGTTCTAAAATGATCACAGTGTTGAAAAATAATCTTTTTTTGTCAAATGAGTAGTAGTAGCAGTAGTATCAGCGGCAGTAGTTGGAATATACAATCATATAAAATAAATTGGATATAAAAAAATGCTTTTGAGATCATAATACCTACAACCAAACAAAAAAGTTTTGAACTTTGCTAAATAAGAAGCTTTAAATAACCAAATAGCAAAATGTAAAACGAAAAGAAAATCGTATAAAACCGTAGTCAGTAGTTACACGTTAAAAGAAAAACACAAACAAATTGCTAAAAGTAAATCCAAGTATATTTAAAATCGAAATATTAAAAAAATGTATTTACAATATATATATACATGACTATATACATGACATACATACATAGATAGATTAACGTGTAACTAGTGCCTTACTAAAGTTTAACTCATTACCTTAATTAAGAGTACACTGTAAAAAACAAATTTAGATTCATATACTATAATTATTAATATACATACATTTACACATAAGAGCATAAACATTATTTAAAATTATAACTAAAACCAAATATTACAATTGAATGAAACTCAGAAATACAAAAAGTAAAAGAAATAAACAATAAATAAAAACTCTAAAAAATATTTAATATTTGAATACTTCTTGAAACCAAGTGCTTTTTTATTTAACAAATTGTATTTTATACTTAATTTTATGTATTTAAAATATCTAATTATTTACTGAGATCTATTTAGTTATTTTCAATGCATACCTACAAAAGTCATAAAGTTTTTCTATAAGAAGAGTATTTTAACTGAAGTATCGTACCTAACTGATTTAATATTTTCATTTTTATTTCAATTTTTTAATTTACTCTGTAATTGTAGAGTTTTTTCATTGACTCCGCATTGGGGCAATCTCATATTGGAGGAATAATAAACAATAGATCTCTATAAGAATGAAATATAAACTAAACGATATATATGTATAGAAAAGGCAATAAGAGTCTGACTATATAAAGCGTACATATTGTTATTATTCTGTAAATCAAATTAACATTCGTAGACATAAAACCATACAATATACATCCATGTATACATACATACATAAATACATACATACATACATGTAACAAATATTTATTTTTCTATACAATATTAAGAAAATCCAAAAATAATTAAAATTCATCAAAATAAAGTAATACATACATACTACTTATACTACTATTCAAATAAAAAAGTAAATAAAAATGTACCACTGTAGGCAGGCCATCCACATGCAATTTTAAATGAAATACATAATAATGAATGTCACGCTTTAAAGCCAATAAAAGAGATTTTTTTAACTCATAACAAATTTTACTTTATTAAAGGGAAATATTAAACAGGTAAGAAATTTTATATCGAATCTAGTTTTGGCAGTAACAATAGAAATAAAAACTAAAAATTTTGGTAAGTAAATGTAAAAAAATAAAAAAAACAAAAGGTTTAATATTAGAATATATGTAGAAGAAATTTTATTTTTTCAGGAAAAAATTATTTTTAAAACTTTAAACTTCAATATTAGAAAATATAGGAAATATACATATTTATGTATAATCCTCGTGTTATTTAATGTTTTTATCAGCTTTAAAATTCGACGTTAATTCGTAATTTCGAAATCCTAAAGAACAAACGTTGAACATGACTTCGAAATATCGAACATAAGAATTGCATTATTGTGTGGTGTCCGTCCTCATGTTTGTCATGCAGTCAATAATTGGTCATCATAAATCGCATATAAATCGCACATCCAAAAAATCTCCAACGTCATTATTTTAAAATTGTTTCATAACTGGTATTGAAAAACGAGAAATCAATGAAGAAAACAGCGTTTACAGATTTTAAAAATATGTATGTAAAACAAACAATGTAAAAAAGGACTTGTAACGTTTGCGTACTAAGCTAACGATTTGTTGATTTTCTGTGCTTTTTTTTCCTCTGAAAAATCATAACTATCACGTATACATAACATAAAATAGCAATAATTCACAATACGAAAAGTATGTAGTGTGACAAACGTTGAAATTCTATAAAAAAAATCCGCATAATATTAAAATTTTTTTGTTTATGGAACTAACCCCCGGTTGTTATTCTTCCAGTAAAGACAATTTTTGCATAAGAACTGTCAATATATCTTAAAGTTAAACAAGTAAGAGTGTTATATTCGGCTATGCCGAATCTTATATACCCACCATCAAGCCTCGTTTGACTCGAATGAAACTTACTTATATCTAATTTCATCTATATACTTTTTAGGCCAGTTATAAGCGTTAAAGTAATTTTCTGAAGGGGACCTTAAATAGGGGAGTAGGGTCAATTATGGGTCGATCCTCATAAAATTTTGTAGATAGAATTTGGTTCGTATCAAATTTATTTGTGTCGAATTTTATCGCTACACTCGTATTTTTAAGTCATTAATGAGCGTTGCAGTCATTTTCTGAAGGGGACCTTATATGGGGGGTAGGGTCAATCATGGACCGATCCTTATAACATTTTTTAGATAGATGACAAGAACCATATTTAGTGGTTGAATTTAAATGATGCGCGCAAAAATTATAGCGGTTTAAATTAAACATTTAAAAAAAAAGTAAACATCTATAAGGACTATCAGCGCATGTTAAAATAGTTATAGCAAATTTCATATTTCAGAAAATACACTGATAATTAAAAAAGTTATTTTAATTTTTTTTGCCAATCCTTTCCAAACTCAAAATAATGCAAATAAAAAAAGCTCGAAAAAATTGTCATAAAATTAGAGATGATTTTCAATGCATTGCAAAATGAACTAAGTTAATATCTCAGTCGGTTTGAAAAACATATGCATTTGAAGTAGCTTTCTCGTATATTTTTATACCATATCAAAGTACAATATTAATATTTTTAATATTTTTTTCGCCGCATTAGAAAACATAATTTTAATTATATGTCATTATTTTGTATGAATTGAAATGAAAAAAGAGAGCTTTTATTTGAAACTTAAATTTATGCAAATCATATGGCGCTATAGTTGTCTGAAAGCAAAATGTTTTTTTTCAGAAAAACTCTGCTAGAACCGCTATAAAAGAATAAATTTTATTTTTCTTTCGCTATATCTTTTAATCCATCAATATAACTTACTGCATAAAATTTACAAAATTTTTGCATCACGTCTTTAGTTAAAAATACAAAGAAAAATATTGAAATTATTATATTAATTTTTAAATGTCCAAAGTTGTTTATAAAGGATGGAACTGTAAGATATGAACTAAGAGTAAAGTTTTGAAATTTATAAAAAAAAACTCTGGTAAATTTCAAAGCATTTTTTAATTTTTAAAATTTGAAATGTTCATGAAGTTGAGAGGTAATAAGCTAGTGGTCTGAAATTATGTTCATACATGTGTTTTTATATATTATACCGAAAAGCAACAAAACATTTACTTATTTTAATAGATTAACGCAAATACGAGACATTTTAATTCAGTTTCAACGATTCTTAAAAATATTTGATTTTGCTCATATATTACTAGAGAGACACAAATGCATTTTTTATGAAACTATTTTGTTTTTATAAACATTTTTACAAGGATTTAGAGAATCTTTATCGCCTCGAAAATTCGAGGCGATAAAGATTTATAAATTGATGGTAAGGAAATTTCGGCACAAGCCGATCGATTCAGAATCACTTTTTGAGTCGTTAAGACATGTCCGTCCGTCCGTCCGTCCGTCCAGCTGGCTGGCTGTCCATGTAAACCTAGTGCGCAAGGTACAGGCCGCAATTTTCAGGATAATTTGATGAAATTTGGACCTAGTATGTTTTTTGTTCATACAACCCCCCTTCAAAAAATGTCTTAAACGTTTAAAATTTACTTGTAACCATTTGTATCGCAATGAAACTCAACATAGCTATTATTTAAAAATATATCCTTTTCCCAAATTTAATAAGGATCGTCCCATGTTTGACCTATACGTTATATGTTTTTTATCAATAAATTGCTTAAATACTTTGGAATTAAGGTAAAATGCAACATAAAAGTTTCTTTATGAAAAATAAAAATTTTTAAAATATACTCATGGTGTGAGGTATTAATTATATGGTCGGCCATGCCCGACTATACTTTCCTACTTGTTTAATACTTCTTTTGTGTCACACTGTCTGCCCGACTTATACACTTTACGAGAATGAATATCGGAAATATTTTGAATAACAAATGGGTGAGGATAGTATGGAGGCCACTCCAAAATTTTTACATTGTGGCATCAAATACATCCTTTTACATCCCGGGGGTATGGATCGGGGCATTTTATTTTTGAAATATCACGGCAAGAATTTAAAAATATATGAGAAAATGTGAAAAAGCTGTCTTCAGTAGGGCTTTACAATTATTACTACTATACTACATATACTATATACTATACTAGATGAAAGAAACTGAAGCTCACATGATTCATAATATGAAATTGCTCCCCACACCATCCCACTTCGCTCACAGCTATGCAGACAAGTTAGGTAGATCTCATCCTTTAAAAAATCATAAAAATAATAGTTATATCCATCTGGACCTTCTAAATTAAACGTTTTTCATCCAAAATAACAAGATGTCGGCTATCGCTTGTTATAACCCATGCAAACTGAATTTCTCTTTACGAGTGTCAGTTAGTGTGGGTATTTTTAATTTTGTTCATCTGATCAAAACCTTGGCTTTTTATACCATACGTTTTACTGCGGCTAGACTTTCTGTAACACCCTCTTTTTCTTTATTTTTTTTACTTAGTGGCAGATTGTATGAAATATCTTCTGTCCGCTTTTGTTATGACTTTATTAATAAGAACCATTAATAGTTTGTAATGACCAGAGATTATTCTAATAGCTTAAATTATTTTCCAACATTATTTATTTTTTTTTTTTTTGTATTTCGAACAAAAGTTCAAAATACATGGTTTAATTAATTTGTTAAAGTTTAGAAAGATTCCATTTTACGCTCAAATAACTAATAAATAATATGAATAATAGCCACAATTGGTTCCTAAGAAAACAATTCCCAAAAAAGAAGTTGTAAAACAGGCCGTAAAATTTTAAAAATAAAGTTTTGAAAAAAAAGATTAAAAATTAAATTTAAATTTAAAAAGTTAAAAACAATTACATAATTATAAAATATCAAAATAGGTATGCGCTAAAAACTTAAAATATGCTCTAAAGAACTCGAAATATGCCTTAAAAATGCTATTCAAATCAAATAAAGCTAAAAATATGCGTTAACAAATCAATGCCAAAATTAAATTGTTCTGAAACGTGTAAATATGTTATCCATGAGTCCACACGACACACCATAAAAAACATGCAATTGCATATGGGCATTTCCACCGAAAAGTACATTTTTTGTCACATCACGTCACGCTCATTAATTGACAATATCTTAGGACCATTTTTTTATTGCTCGCACCTTTATCCTATGCATAGAGCTATTAGAACTCTACATAAAAATATAAACAAATTAAAAATATGTATATTGTTTCCCTAGATATAAGCAGTTAATTGTGCGTGACGTGATGTGACAAAAGTTGACTTTTCGGTGGAAATGCCCATATTTTATTATTATAACTTTTTGTGCTTAAGAAGAGCTTTAAAGTCTTTTAATCAAATTTGAATGATATTCCATAATAATACAAGTTGAAATTTTGTTTTTGACGACTTTTAGTTTTTGAGTCACGGTGAACTTTTACGAAATTTTTTAGCGATCGGTGTATAATTGTTCCTAGCCTTCTTTAAGGGTTCCTTAACTAAAAAAGTTTATCATTACTAAATCGCATTAACATCTACATATGTATATCAGATTATTAAATCCGAAATAAACGCATTACTGACTATTTATTATAGCAACTATTTCCAAAACAGAGCTTCCTTGTATAGACCATATTATTGGCAAATATGACAGACTATGTTTTTGTACTTGTTTAGTTTTTTTAACATTTCTGTTCAACTATTTAAAGTTAAAGACTTTTCCTTTTTTTGTAGAGCAATATTTGCCCAATTATTAAAGCACTGCAGAATTTATGAACTTTAAAATATTGGAGTAATGTGTTACAGATTTTTTACTTTTAATAATTAAGTAGAGCAACCACTTACCAGTTTTAAAAATTTGTGAATGTCCATTGAAAAAAATGCACTTGTTCGACATAACGCTTACAAACTTTTAAAAATGGCTTCAATTAAAGCGAATGAAACATCGTTGGCATGGAACACAGAAAATTGTGTTTATCCTTTTGAGATGCATGATTACATGGACAACGTTCGCACATATTTATATTATAAAATACAACGTTCATAAAAAAATTGTATAACACTTTCATTTCTTTATGATACACAACACAATGACAATTTAAATGCAAATTTACAAGAATTTTTTAATATAAAAATATTAAGCACTGTTTAAGTTTAAAATTAATTTTCCCACCAAAAAGTATTTTTGCACTTGTATTTTTTTCCGTGAAAGTTTCATTTCTGACATTTTCTTTTAAATTATTTTCGTAGAAATGGCATCTCTAATTAGAGTGTGAACCCAAAGTTGTATAACAGTAATATTGACGCCGTCATTAAAATTTTTTCGTTGACTTGGAATTAATTGCTTGTGAAAAGATAAATTTAATTATTTTTTCTTTAATTTAAATTTCAATTTTGTTGTTCTTTGTCGGTTTATGATAGTTGCAGCAAATAAGAATAGAAATATATGATACACTTTAAGAAAATAAAGAATAAGTTTCGTTTAATTTATATGTAATTATAAATGAAAATATTAGAGAAAAACACAAGTGCAAAAATTCAATCCAGTTAGAGGCGTACGTGATATAAACAAGATACACTATGGTGGATACCAAATGCAATTTTCTAAATAGTAAATATAAAAAGTCAGAATGTAATGCATCCAATACGGATGTTACCAATGAGGACGAAAGTTTACTTAGACAACCACTTCGCACATCATGTGCAGGTTTTTGGGAAGCGAAAAAGGCTTACGAAAACGGTACAGATGAGGTAAGCAGACAAAGTATACCATAATTAAATTGTACATATAATTCAAATGCATGCAGACAATCTGCATTGGGCCTATTACATTTTTTAACAACCTAGTGAAGAAAATGGAAATGATTTAAATGTTTATTAAAATTCCAGGTACGACGTCTGTTAATACAAGAATGCTCTCTCATCTACGAGTGCAATATGTGTCGCAATATGTTTCGTAGTTTGGCAAATTTTATTAGTCACAAACGCAGCTATTGCAAAATGACTTCGCAAGATAATTTCCACTCCTTTGCGGTAAGTTTTTTAATATATTTTTGTATGTAAATGCCCTATATGTAAAAGTCTGTGAACAGTATGTTGTTGCATATTGTCGGCTATCTTTCTTTAAACGAGTTGGGATTTTAAAGGGACTAAAAGTTCGAACTAATTATACAAAATTTCCAAAATGACTACCTACAACAAATAGAATAACAATTTATTATAGGTATTCTACTTTTTTATAAGATTTTTATATGCTATTTATAATGATAACGATACATTTTTAAGAGAGCTTTAATTTTCAAATAAAACATTTCTAACCGATTATTGGTTACGATTTATAGAGGGATATACTCTATATAATATAAACATTTTATTGATATTATAAATAGACAAGGGCGATAATCACTCAAAACTAAATATTTCATCATACATAAATCACATTTTAACTTTAAAACTGCGATTACCTTGTTGATAAGAATTGTTAAAAAAAACTATACTTAAATTTAAATACATAAACCATATATGTATGTAATTTTATACAAATGCTATATAATTAAAATTTATTGTTAAATATACACAATTTTCTTTTAGGATCGTAATTCTAGTGTACTCATTCAAACAGTGGAACGTTCGGAACCATGGCTAGTTAAAAGCCGCAGCACAGGTTCATCACCTATTCCAAGCCCTAAAACTTCAAATCGTGATTTGAGTACAGTAATTGAACGTTTGAAGCGAGTAGAGGTCTCTCCGGAATGCAGTAAAAATAACACTTTATCAATGGAACACATAATGAATCCGTTATCGCCAGAGCCTAAAGCTCCCGATCCTGTCTTAGAACTGGAACGTGTATCATCAACTGCTCACGCAGTATATCAGACTTTAAAAATGCAAAATGATTCTGATAGTATAAAAACAGAATTAGATGAAGTACACAACCTTTTATCAAATCAAAAAACTATGCTCGGCCCCGATGGCAAAGTAATAATTAGTCCAACTTTAATAACTTATACTGCAACAAGTGAAAATGACAGCAATGGACTAAATGAACTCAATTACGAAGTCACTACAATATTGGGAGGTATTTCTTGCGAAATATGTAATATGACCTTTCAGACAGAGAAGACACTAAAAATGCACGTCCAAAAGAAGCATACATCGTCAACTTATGTATTTCAGTGTCCAACATGCTCAATGACATTTTTGCAACCTGCTGCTGTTATACGTCATTTGGCCAATGAACACAAGTAAGTACATATTGATTAGTTTAAATATAATAATGTACTTGCCTGATATGACATTATTTAAAATTCATCAAAATTGATATTTCGTTAAATTTTGTCCAGAGGAGTAACGTTTCGCCGTACTTGTGAATTTCTGTGAAAATAATAAATTTTTAATTATAACATTTGTCTTTTTTCATTTTTTTTTTAAATTTTCTGTCTGGTGATTCGATTTTTATTTATAACATTTGTCTTTTTCCAATTTAGATTTGTAATTTTCTATCTGGTAATTCGATCCGATTCACCAACTAGTTTTCAAATTCACAAACCTCAGGGTGTATACATTTTTAAAATTTTTTACGAATATAGCTTTAATTTTTCTACCAAATCGGGCTACGGGAACGGCTTGAAAATTCAGTAACAAGTTTAATAAAAGCTAGTAAGAAATAAAAATCAGTGTAAAAACACCTTATGACCATAATCTAGGTGTTTTATATTTTTTTTTTATAAAAATTTTACATATCGTCACCTAAAACGCAAACGGCCCTATCTAACATTTTTAAAATTTTACAGGAGAAGCAAAAAACTATTGAAATTGAAAAGTTTGTTTCTATCAACGCGATTTATTTGTAGTAAATAAAAAAATTATTTAATAGTATTGTATTGTTGTATTGTTGTTGCTGGGGTTGACAGCCCTTGGCCGAATAATTCGGGTCATTCCGGTACGTAGAACCGGCTGTCGGGGAATAAAACCTATCAGTTGTTATGATAGTTGACAATGGCGTATAAAAAAATGGATAAATTGGACTTTTTACGTTTAATATTTAAATGTGTTTGTAGATAGGGCCTTTTGTTTTTTGTGGACATTTGTTTTGATGCAATACGTTATAATCAACAATAAAATCGATTTTGAATTTTTGGTTAGTTAGGGCCGTTTGCGTTTCAGGTGACGATATAATCATAATTTTCGTTCCCTGGTCTAAATACATAGTTAATTTTTGGTTGTAGATTCCACATATCTTTATTATAAATAGTATTTTGGCAAAATTATTAGTATTTATTAAATACTAATAATTTTGGCATTTTATCAGAGATGGGGGTAGTGCACTAATTTTTAACTATCACTAATAATTAGTGAAAGTTCAAAATTATTCACTACTTTTACTTAAGTTTAGTGATGAATTGAAAAATATAAGCCTCACTCAATAATAGTGATAGTGACATTTAAAATTTTTAACTAAAAATATTTTCAAAATAGTTAAAATATTTGTTTTTACAGCCTAGTGAAATAATTTTTTCTACACTAATTTATTAGTTCAAAAAATATTCCTGCACTATTTTTTTTCTACGGAGAAATGTTTTACTCAATTGAAAGTTTAAGTTAATAGGTCAGTCTAGAAATGGTTTAAGTCAACCAAGAACTCATTGGACGAATATTAATAATGAATAAAACTTTCATTATTTACAAAATTTCCAAGCTATTGCTTAAAAACATCCAGTAACCACATCATTTTTGCATAGCCAGTTGCTATGTATTTTCTGTTTTAATAGGTGTATCTTATTGTCTTACAAATTCCTTAATTTTCATTTAAAAAAAATTAGTGCAAAAAAAATTATTGCAGCCTTTGTTAGTGACTCTTCAAATTTTTAACTATTAGTGAAAAATATATTTTTTGAAATAATTTTTAGTGCTAGTGAAATATTGATTTAACTAAAAAAATAGTGCATTACCCCCATCTCGGCATTTTATGAATACATATTAGTAATATTTAATTAATATTTTAAATACATTTTAATATTAAGAGAATAAAAAGTTAGATTGTGTAATATTTAAATAACGTTAAAAATTTTGTTTATCGGAGACGACAAATTTTTCATGAGATTTAATTGTCTTTTACTTTTATGAAGATTGCATACTAATTTCGATCATTTAGCATGGATTTATAATTTTTAATTCTGCAACGATGCATAGTGTTTTACTAGAATACACTGAAATAACAATTATCAATAAATTCATGATAGAATAATTAGGTTTCTTTTATTGTTTGTAGGAAACCGATGCGAAGAATACGCAAAATGCGCGATACTATTCTTAAGAAACGAATTCAAATTGGAGATGTTCAAGTGAAAGGACCAAGTCGTGAAGTAAAACGTCTTAAGATGAATAATACCGAAGACAACGATGTGTCTAATTCACTAGATCAACAAAATGGAAAATCTGTCACATCATGTTTGTATTGTTTGAAGAAATTCGAGAGAAGAGCTGCTTTGACAACTCATCTTTCAAACTGTTCAGCACGGAAGACATCATTAAACAAGACAGAAATGTCAAAGAAACTAAATACTTTAGATTTACAAATCAATGAAGAAAAACTACAAAAAGAAATCTCAAATCAAATTTTAGAATCTAATAATCAAAATGATAAAACCGTGAGTGGAGAACAAACCGAAGCTAAAGTTAACATTAAGCAAGAGCCTCAAGAAAATGAAAACTCGGGAGTCAATGCAACAAATATAAATGAATTATTTCAAAATTTGGAAAATCAAACATTTGGCAATGGTCTACGTACTGTTTCTTTGGAAAAGTTGGAAATACTGGTAGACGCGAAAGGTATCGATAACACAAATCCAGGAGAATGTAATAATGGTTCTTACCAAGTCCTTTGCTCTTACGGCGAACAAAATAATGAAAAATCAGTGAAGAGAAATAAAGCTATCAATAGTGGAAATGGTATAAAAAAAGAGAAGACAAAACGTTTTCGCATTATATCTGCTTCAAAGCAATTAACTTGTCGTTGCAAAATATGCAATAAACAATTTAATGCCCTGAGTAATCTTAGACGACACATCTCAATGTTTCACTATAGATCGAGGAGATTTGGCTGCAGTTTATGCGATTATCGTGCCTTTAGACGTTATGATATAGTAAATCACTTGACGTTTGTTCATAAAATGACGGAAGAGCGCGAAACTATGGCTGTGGAGTATGTAACGGTCCATGAAATAAAATATTCAAAAGACGATGTTGAGGGTGATATTGTCGTAGTTAGTGATGAGGCTACTGCATCTGAGCAGAATAAAATACAAGAGCAAGGACAAGTAGTAGTCCACGAAAATGCCCTAAGGACATACGTAAAGCGGGAAAAACGTAAGAACGTACTTTTACAGCCAAACAAAGTCCTAGAACATCCAAACAAAGTAGATTCCATTGTAACCAAAGATGTGTCTCACGTAAAAGTAATTCGTAGAAAAATGAAAAAATCTCTAGACCAACAAGTTGAGGGTAAAAAGAGACCAATTCGAAATCGCATAAAAACTGTCAACAAGGACTTTGTATATGATCTCCTCACAGTCAAAGAAGAACCTAAGCAATCGTCACGTGTAGCTTTCAAGCGTCGTAATACGATGTTTACCGATCAAAACAACACAGCAAATGTTCATCTTACACCACCCTCCATAAAACTAACACCATACAGATTGAGAACTGAGCCTTTAATACCGTTAGATAAAAGTGCTGTAAAGGGCGTTGCATCTAATGTTTGTCGTAATGTAATCCATGAGGGCCTAGCTGCTTCTTCAACATTGCCCGAATTGCCTGCTGAGCGACCACAAATGCGACCTCGTCTGATATCATCTTCACGTAATGACTCCAGTACTGTACCCATTATTGAAACAACTGAACTGGAGGCCGCTCGTTTAAAATCGACACTCTTTGATGACTCCTTTTTAGAAAAGTTTGCAAAGAAATCAAATCCCTCGTTTAAAATGAAGCCATTGTTGGCACTACAACATAGTCCACTCAATTCCATACTTCAAAAGTTCGATGCAACTCAACAAAATATTCTGCAGAGAACAGATAATAATAATTTCTTTAAGCCGCCGGAAAAGACCAACAGCACTCCACCAAATTTCACTCTATGTTCACTTCAACAAACAACTCTGAAAGAAATGGATATAACACCAAATGGAAAACAAGTTATGGAAAGATCTTCGCCGCCCGCCACTCCCAAAAAACGTATTACTCTAATGCAACGTCTTGCAGAAAACAGAGCCAAACGAAGAGACAGTGTCATTCGTACCGCTTTAGAAAATTAATTTTAAGTTTCTTAGGTAAGCCAATAAATAAGTGACATTCTGGGTTTCTTAAACATTTTATTTAATTCCATTAACAAATATACATAACCGTTCGATACAATTTCCAATACAAGAAATCTGTACATATAAAAGGTCCTTCAAGTACTTATTAAATATGTATTCATCACTGAACGTCTTTCTGTTGTATTATTTTAAAAATAGTATTTTCATTAAGCTACATTAAAAACCTTTAGGGGTTTTTCCAAAATTAATACCATAGCTAATGTACTGCTATGGATAGTTTTCTAATTTAAAATAATAAAATTACAAAAGTAAATTTATAACAAAGAACGTTCGAATTTGTCATAAATAAAATTTCGAACGTTTTGTTTACACATACAATTATTTGTATACAATTTTAAATCGAAAACATACGACTTCGCTCTGAAACCAAAGATAAAATTTTAAAAGTTTGTTCAGAATTTTATTGAAAGTAAAAGTAGTGAATTAATTATATTTATCTATATGAATGTGCATAAGTACATAAAACTAAGTTATTTGTGCAACTATAATTTATTCAAACCAATTTTGCATTCCTAACTGAAGTTGGCGTACATTGTACGAAATACTTCATGATTTTGCAAATCAAAAGTAATGTGTAAAAGGACTTTTTTAATATGTACGAATTTATAATCTTTATCGGTGGAAAATGTATTTAAAAAATTATTGTGATTGATTCAATATATATTACATATACAGTGTCTCTCATAAGTATTCGAATTTAGGTAAACTATGAAAAGAAACCAAATTAAATAATATATTTTGTGTGCAAAAAAAATAAATTAATTTGTTATATTGTCTAGATAGTCCTAAGTTTTGATATCACGCCCCTTAAAACTTGAAAACTTTACATTTACTTAAATTAGTTGTGCTTTTTTTAAAAAAAGTCCATGAAACTACTTCACAAAAGTATGCGAATTTTTCCCGTATTTCATATTTGATCATATTATACGATACACAAATTTTAGAATCGCATGGTTTTATGCTTAATATTGTTTTGAGGGGTTACTATCAACCGCATGGATATATTTTTGACCCATTTGGTCCACAATTTTGGGGGATTTGTACCCTCTTTTCATGTAATATCATTAAAATGGCGATTTTTGGCTATATTTGTATGTTTCTCACCCTTTTTCCAGAGATAAAACCAAAATTTAATATTGGATTTTAATAGAACCCATAGGGTATCTAAAAATAATATTTTTTGTTATAAGGATCTGTACTTAAACGTTCCAAGATGTATTTTTGGTATCGTTTTTCAGTTTCTAATTGAATTATCTGGATCATAAGTCCCTTTTCGTACCTCTAGGGACGATATTTTCCGACAAAGTTGTCTAGTGTATATTCATGTACATATTGGCACTAATGTAATTTAAATTTTCAATATTTTATAGCGGTATACAACCCCAAAACATGCCTTAACAAAACGTCATCCTATATAGTAGATTTCAGTTTTTACTACTCGTAACTTTCACGCTTATGTAGCCCGTTACAATAACACTGTAAGTCCTAAATTTTGGTTTTAATTTGATCATAGTAAATAATATTTAAACACATATCACACATTTTTGATGTGATCATAATGATATCGTGCCATGCAGCATGGAGGCCATTGGTATATAAAAATAATGATTTTACTATTTTGAATGGTGCTTCTTCGAGGCATGTTTTGGAGTTGTACACTTCCACAACACATTGAAAACTTAAAATGTATAAAAGCTGATATCTAAAAGAATATATACCAGAAAACTTTCCCCGAAAATAGTTGATCGTAGTATTATAAAAATGGACTTAAGTTCCAATATATTGAATTAGCGACAGAAGAATGATCCGAATAATTTATCTTGGAACGTTTAAATACAGATTCTTGTAACAAAAAATATTATTTTTAGATACCCCAAAGGGTCTTTTAAGTCCCAATATCAAATTTTTGTTTTATATCTGGAAAAAAGGAGAAAAATTTGCAATTATGGCCAAAAATCGCCATTTTAATGATATTACATGAAAAGAGGGTACAAATTCCCCAAAATTGTGGACCAAATGGGCCAAAAATCTATCCTTTCCGTGGATAGTAACCCCTTAAAACAATATTACGCATAAAAACCATTCAATTCTAAAATTTGTGTTTCGTATAATATGATGAAATATGATATACAGGAAAAATTCGTATACTTTTGTGAGGCAATTTCATGGACTTTTTTTAAAAAAGCACAATTAATTTAAGTCAATGCAAATTTTTCAAGTTTTAAAAAGCGTGATATCAAACATAAGGACTATCTAGACAATATAACAAATTAATTTATTTATTTTGCACACAAAATATATTATTAAATTTGGTTTCTTTTTATAGTTTACCCAAATTCGAATAATTATGAGAGACACTGTACATATTTAGTTACGCTCTACCATTTTATTATAAAAATATAACTTAAAAAGTAAATAAAAATAAGAATACAAATATTTAAGAAAACAAATTTAGCTTTTCAGCCTATTAACTGCTAAACGATATTGAATTTCAAGAAAAAAGTAGTACACGTTAAAAAAACTAATTAATATATTATTCACAATAATATGCATATGTATAAAAAATGTACTAATGTTTGAATGTTTTTTATAAGTTGTCAGACATGCTTTCGAGAAGTTCCTTTCTATCAGCAAAATCGGTCCACAAATAACGGAAATATAAGCAAAAATCCGACAAAGTATTAGAAAATTTTGTGAAAAAAAAAATACTTTTTTTGCAGACAGAAGAAATAAAACAACAACAACATGCAGGTTTATATGGTATATGTTGTACTTACACTAAGTTTGCTTGTTTTTAAAAACTAAAAAGTATTAAAGAATTAACTTTGGAGAAGGGTACATAAGATTCGACACATACGAATTATTATTTTTCAAAATAATTCACAGAAAAAACTAATACATAACTGTAATGAATTTTGTAATAAATAGTATGAATCGAACATGACTTTTTTTTTCCCAAACCATTTTCATTCAGAATATTAATAGTTCATAAAATGTATGAATTTGTACATGACGAAAAGTTTTTGAGTTTTTACTTATTTTCTTTGATATTCATTAAAAATAGCAATAAATGTCCCTTACCTATTAATTTGTTACCATATTATTTAGATAATAATCATATATGTATTAGCTAAATTTTTATGATAAATAAATAAAAATCTTGAAAAACAAAATCTGAAATAAAAAACCTCAGTAAACATAGTTAAACATCCATTCTTAATGAAATTCTGCAAATTACCCGCACATTTCATCGTTTTCAAACTAAAATTCATAAAGAAATAAAAGATTTTCCAAAGAAAATTTCCAAAATTTTTTAACAAATAGAAAAATATAAAATAAATTTTAAGTCAAGGCTTCTAAATTATGTTTGAAAAAATAAAGATTAAAAAAAATTCATACAATGTAGGAATTTAAAGGGCCCATACACAACACCAGCATGCTGGCACAATAATTTGATTGTGCTTTCTTGCTCGAACCATATATGACACCAGCATGCTTGTACAATATTTATTTTTTCAGAAGTTTTCTGTTGTAAAGGTCGTTGCGAATAATACAAATATTACAAAGAACTGACCTATTTTGTTTACCGCAAGCATGAACTTGTAGGCATAAAACAATTATCCCCAAAATATTTTTCTCTTGGAATTCATAGACAAACTATGATTATTGCTCAAAAAATTGTATTTGTATGATCAAATTTCCCCATACACAGTACAAGCATGCTGGCACAATCACATAAATATCAAATTAATTTTGATATCACACAATCAGATGGCACAATAGAGTTTTATATACTAAACTTGATTTAGATATAAAGTTTTAAACAATTCTGAATGTCAACTATAAATTTATCGGAATACAGTGGACGTCCACTAGTACGAATTATATAGTGTCAGGCCCTTTCGTAATACCGAAAAATTCGTATTATTGAACAACACATTTTGTATGTTTAAATTCAAATAATACACATAAAATATTGGATTATATTTATTTTTGTTTTATTTTTCATGAAAAATTACATAAAGGAACAAAATATAATAAATGTGTATTATTTTAAATAAATTTCTTGTACATAAACAGGCATAAAAGGGACATATTTACGTATATGAATTGTTAATTTTGAAAGTATCGTGAGTCCAATGGTTGAAATGAGATATATGTAGAAGGTTTTAAATTTTAATGTTTTTAAAAAGATGTGTGCCAAAGACAATTTGCAATTTACATATGTGCTCTAAAATATATTAAAATGTTCAGATTACATAAAGCTTTTATTAGAAACTTGAATGGAATATACCACAATTCTCTAATTTATAATTTTCTCTTAAAAATTAGAATAGTTATCCTTAAACCCATTGTTTAGAATGTGGAGTCACACTACTTTCAAAATTAACAGTTCATACATACATATGTATATAAATATCATTTTACTTATTAAAAAATCCATCATTTAACATCGATTTGTTTTTTTCAATAACAGCGCTTTTGAGGCTTCAATACTGTTCTCAGCAGAGTTATTGTCGGGAACTAATAAAATACTTTCCTCATTGGCGTTATCATCCAATTTAATTTCTTCTCTTGGATCATCAAAATTCCAATAAAATAAATTAATAACACTAAATAATTGTTGATTTGTAAATAAACATGCAGTAAATTGTGTGTATAGGATTTTTAAAAATACAAAACACTTGTAATAAATACAAAAAAACTTCAAAATTACTGAGCTTAAGGTGAATGTTACCGAAATAATAAAATAAAAACATAATAAAAATATGTAAATAAAACCAAAATTCCCATAAAAAATGCGTTATTCGTACTATCGAACAGAAAAATTGTGACTTTATTCGTACTATAGAGTAGACAATGCAACAATTTTGCCATTCGTATTATTGGATATTCGTAATAAAGAGTATACGTACTATTGGACGTCCACTGTATATCCTCTTTCAACGTGACGAACGTGACATTTAAAAGTCTATGAAAGGAAATCGAAAATTTTACTTTTACGGATCTTTGCTTTTTATATTTGTATGTTTTAAGATAACAATTATTCCAACAAATAATTTCCGATAAAAGTCAATTTAAATATAAGCCTTTAAAATAATAAAAACTAGTAAAACAAAAAAAATATGCCTGAAATATTATTGTAACTTTCGATTCCGATTTCTCATCATAGTGGTTAAGAAGAGCTTTGGTTTCTTTAATTTAATAAAATTTGAATCTTTTTCTATAATAATACAAGTTAAATTTTCATTTTTGCCTGACATACTGACATAACTGAAAATTAGAGTTCTTTGAACTGAGTACAAAAGAAAATAGAAGCCGCTCTAAAGTATTTAGAACAATTTTAGTTTTAAACGTCAAAACTAAAACTCATAGAATCAGTTTCTGATTTATTTATGAAATATAAAACATTCAAAGCTGTTTTCTCGAAACGATACTTTTTGAGTTATGACAGTATTGAAGTAAATGAAATTAACGTATGTTAAGACTATGATGCAGCCATTACCATGTAATTGTTATATTATGTGTTAAGAACAAATTTTAAAAAAATATAGGTACCTAAGCTAAAATCGATTTAATTTTCTTCCTGAATTTTTCTATTTGCTATAAAATATAGGGTGATCGGCCCTGAATTTTAGTGTATGTGTAATACGTATCTGCAAGATGTTCATAAATGTGGCTATATAACCTACTTACAGATAAAGGTTATGTGTAAAAAGTACATAATATTTATCATTGTATGTACTATGATGTTTATGTACAACCAAAATGACAAACCTTATTCAGGCAAATGCTCACCCGCACTCATCCATACAGATAAAAAATGATTCAATGTATGAATTGCGGTCAAAGTCGTGTTAAAAAAAAAACAAACGAGATAACAACTGTTTTTAACGTTATTGTCTCATAAGAGTGCAGAAAAGCTTTAAATGAAAACTTTCTTTTGAAAAGCTTATGTAAAAAGCTCAGAAAATAGAGGACACTCGAAATAAACGTTTGAATGAACCATTTAACGGTGTTTATGATTCTATAATTATTTTAATTTCCGTTTGATACTGATTTGTCCAATAACGTTTCATATTTTGTTAACATTTTGTTATATTAAGCCAAATTAAAAAAGTTTGCCTTAATACACACATTATTTCTTAAAAATAATATTAAAATTATTTTTCTAAAGAGTTTAAAACTTTTATCCGTACACAAGTTGTCAGTCTCTTTTTACTATCTATCTCTCTCTAGCTCTCTTATTGTTTCTTTGGCATACAATATTACAAAACGATGTATGTATGTAGGTCCTATTTCTGTTTGTAAGAAAGTCTGTAGAAACATAAAATTTTTTGTGTGTGTATGTCTGTAGGTATGTATGTATGATGTGTATCTGAGGTTGTTTTGAGCCAACATATGTTTTCGGGTCGTTGCCGCTAAAGCTGAGCAGTTAACGTATGTAAGATAGACACATGTTGTATGTTCGACCTAGTCAAGACAACAAAAACATACAAATTATTGAATTGAAGGACGCCAAATATGTCTGTTGTTGTCAGTTATGCAAGGATTACAAATACTTATTCAAACTTACATATATGTATGAATTGCTGAAATACAAGCACTTTCTTACACACAAATAATATGTACATATGTTTGTATGTATGTATATGAGTTTTACAATTTTTTTCTTGTACATGTGAGGACTTTATAAGCGAATTGACTGACAGACTAATGATGACAAGTTTTTATAAGAAGGATATACCACTTAATAAGAAAATTGCAAAATTAATTTCTCCTTGAAAATAAGCTGTTAAGAAATTTAATAAATATTAAGTTTTTAAACCATTAATTTTATATTCAAGATGTTGAGTTGAATCTGAAGTGAGATTCATTAGGATAACTTCTCCTCGTTTTGGAAAACATATTAAAGCTTTTTGCTAATTCTGCCAACGCTGAATTTAACATCTCAGTAACTGCGAGTAGGAGTATTAAGAATCTCTTGTGAGGTTTGTCAGACAATCACTTTTACAGTATCCATCAGTTGAATCTCGGCCGTTAACTTAAACTGAGGTGTGCGTAAGAGTAAGGCAAAAAAAAAAAAAAAAATATTGCAAATCTAATGATAAAAATTTCCTCAAATATCTAAGTGAAAAAAATGAATCATAAAATGAAGTTTTTGCTCGTTTAAAACTTGAGAATCCCTAAAATACATCATATAAATTGTAAAATTAAAAATAAAAGAAACAAATCTACAATACACAAAAACAAATTCTTTTGTGTATTCCTTAATTTATATGCAAAAAAGAAAAATATATATTCAATCTATTATTTTTTATTGTTATATAGCAGAGAAACAATAGATGGAATTCAATTGAAAGTTATTTCGACTCGCCACAAAAGGCTTCACTTCACTCGATACTCTACAACTACCCCGAAATTTATAACGTTAAAATATAATGATAAATAAAAAAAGAAAAATTACATACATATTTGTTCCTACATACATATATGTATATGTGTATGAGATATCTATATTTGTATACAGCTATACATAACAGATTTATGTATATATCGAAGACAACAAGCACTCATCATATCTCATTTTATTTATTATTACTATCTTTGTAGTAGTTGTTTACGAAGTTGTTTTAACAAATTGCAAAATCTTCAAGAAATTAAAATATATACATGACATACATACATACAAACAAACATACATACATACATACATACATACATACATACATACATGCATACATTCATACATACATACATACATACATACATACATACATACATACATACATACATACATACATACATACATACATACATACATACATACATACATACATACATACATACATACATACATACATACATACATACATACATACATACATACATACATACATACATACATACATACATACATACATACATACATACATACATACATACATACATACATACATACATACATACATACATACATACATACATACATACATACATACATACATACATACATACATACATACATACATACATACATACATACATACATTTTATTATTTGACAGTTTTCAGATATAGTCTTGCTTTGGTGGGCTTTTTTTATACCCACCCCAACAGTGTTTCTAAGTCAGTATTCATTAAAACAAAGACCGACCGACAAAACAAACACATAAACGAACCAACCATGCCCATAACAGACTCTCATCACTTTATCAATAACCTCACTTACCATCAATGTCACCTCAATAGAAAACATTCATGTATGTACGTACCCTCACAAATCATCTATCATTACAAAGAAGGACAAACATAAACAGAAGGCAATTTCAGTAAGCTCACAACACAATATCACACTCATATCTTCATACATATATACGTATGTATGTTTGTATGTTTTTTTAAAGTGTTACACACACACTCCTTAAGCGTCGAACAAATTGAAATTATATTTTTAAAATAAATATATTCACTAATTGTTTTCTATTTAAAGAAAGTTATCATTTCTATTCTTATGAATAAGAACTAATAAGTGATCTCGTAGTAACATACATTTTCATTTACTTTGATCCTGATATAAAACTACAAAAATTTGTTATTTAATAAAAAACAAGGAGATCTAAGAAAAGCAGTCATTATGTTCTCCATGTGTTCCAAAGTTAAACCCCATAATTCTATGAATTTACAACAACATCAGCAAACAACGGGTAAGTACGAGTAAAGTTTAAAATTAATGGAGCGTCGTTTGCTTCCACCCACATATACATTAGGGTCATAACTTTTAAATAATTTCTAAAAATTTCAAAGCCGCCCTGTCCATTTCACATAGAGTACGCAAACAAATTATATCACTTTTTCACGAGCGTTAAAAAAGTTTCCGCGGCAAATGCTTTAAAGTTTTCGATATTTACTCTATAGGTTCAAAATATTTAATTTTTTT